TTTATAAGGTTAATATTTTAGGTATAACTACATACACAGCAAACACAAGACCACTAGATTTTGTTCTGTTTGGAGGTTATGGATCCACTATAGCACTGAGAAACTAAAGTTTTATTTATGATGTAGTTTATAATTGTTACATTAGATAAAATTGTCATTTAAAGCACTTGTTAAAAATGTAAGGTCACCTATATTTCTTGAAGGTAAAATCTACCTTAATTTATGAAATGTATTTTAATAATGATGATTAACTTTTTAACAATTGTTTGCTAATATGCTACTCTAAAAGAAGCACAAGATATATTTAAAATAAACGTATGATTTAGGAAGTGTTTCCCTTGCAAGCCCGCCACAAGCTGGTGCATGAAAAATAAAGTGTTTTAAAATTTTTTATTTTGAAATAATTATCTATTTTAGGGTTTAGAAAGAAACTCCCATACAGAGACTTAAGTTGCATTGTGCCAAAACACAAAAGTATTACTTTTGATAATCTTTTGAGTTATAGAAGCGTGTTACCCAACATTTTCCTAGAGAAGCTGAAGACTGTAGCTGTGAAAATAGAAACTTTGCATATTTACCCACCAAACACATTTGTTGGGAGTAAGACGGGTCTTCTAAGAAACACTTCAAGGGTTCAGCACTTGAAATATTTACTGTCAAACACAGTCTGCTCTCTGCACTCACCATATGTGGCTAAATAACAGCAGATAAACCTAAATTAGTCCTCCAGAATGCATGTAAATGTAGAAACCAGGACTTCCTCGGTGGTGCTGATGTAGCACTAAGGCTCGACTCATGCCTGATGCAAATGATTTAATGGAAAGTAGCAGCATTAGTAGATTTCATCACTATAATCACGGAATTCTGCTCTGACCTCACGCTGCAGTAAAACGTGTCTGGGTCGGTGTGATCGGCTTTTGTTTTGTACAAATTCATAGTTGGTCCTTTTATCTGGAAATGAATGAGTCTCGTATTTAATCTGGTCGAGGCATAACAGTTGCAGGATTAAACCCTTATGCAGGAGTACGAGCAGACTAGAGTGTGTAAAACGTGTTTATTACTTGTGTTATATTTATAGCCTCTTTTCAGACATGCATTGAGTAGAAGCGGGTTAACTCAACCTGCAAGGAAACTTACTGCAGTTATTATAAACAAAACTGGTTAAACTAGCTCTGATTCATCAGATTAACTAGAATAAACACAATATTTCTTTTAATAAATGTGTTGCATTTTATATTTCCCGTTGCTCCCTTCCACTGTTGCCGTTTTGTCTGTTTGACTTTAAATGAAAGTCTAAGGATTTGCAGGCTTTTAAGGTGTTTTGCATCATTTTACCTGCAGCAGTGATGCTTGGGAAAGCAGTCAGTTAACGTTAAATAAAGGAATGTTTTGGGTCAAAGTCTGGTTATTATTCTTACAGCTGGGGAGTTTGAGGTGTGGCTCTTGGACTTTGACTTTCATCCACCTGGTTATCTGAAAACGTGCATATATTTGTTTATTATTTGAATGACTTGCTGACTGTGGTTGGCTGAAAGAGCCATGACTCTAGTTTTTGTTTTGCTGGTTGAAGTAATCGTGCCAGACATTTCTTACCCCAGGGGGTTGTAGCGGATTAGGTGAAACAATCTCATTTGGTGGAGCTTCAGTCTGCTGCTTGTATTAGCCAGTCTGCTGAGTTTACTTGTAAAATAACAACAAGCCGAGGTGAACTTGGACAGTTGGTGACACTTATTTATGATCTTTACCTGGAAATAATTTTATCAGGTCACTTTAATTCTAATCTCACACAAATGCATTTGTTGAAGGCCAACTTCACAGAAAAAACCCTATTTAATAATTACTTCTGATTATAATCAGTCACTTTGAGTTTAATGTGCAGGCTGAACATGAAAATAGTCTCCTACGCCTATTTCTTGCATTAGCTTCTGATAGAAAATAGACTGTGAACCTCTAGGATTTGAAAAGCCTGACAGATCTATGTCACAATGTCCCTCAAAGTAACACTAAATCGTTTTTAGACTATAAACTAGAGCTTTAAAGTTGATATCAGTGATTGTTGATGTAGAAACTTGACCAGTTTAATCAATCAATCAATCAATCAATCAATCAATCAAACTTTATTTATATAGCACTTAATCATACAATACATGCAACTCAAAGTGCTTAACAAATTAAAAAGGCCCCACATACCCACATTCCCTCCCATCCCCAGAATCTTAAAAACAGTCTGACAATAAAACCCCGTCACAACACTCCCCCCCCCCTCCCCCCAAAGGGAGCGAAACGAGGCTACAAAATCACGAACTAATGGTAATCTAGCTTTGTTTCTCAACTTGTAAGTAATAATATTCTTTGTCCAACAGCATGGATCTTTTTACTTTGTAGTTTATTTTAACATTTGTTAGCTCATGTTGGTGTTAGCTCATTGTTAGCGCTAGGCTGCAGCAGAGTTGTTTACTACAGTTGTAATTCTTCTTTCAACTAGTAGGGCAAAAGAGCAGAAAACTACTCTGTGGTACCTTAACATTCATGGACTCACCCATCTTAACTTGCAACGGGGAAGGCTGTTATTGGTTTAGCGTTCTGGAAACAATGTCTCAGCTAGTAGAAGCAAAGCGTTAGCATTAGCAACTTCACCACATTGCAGAACTCCTTCAGGCTTTTGTAATTGGAGATGAACATCAATGTTGCAATGCAAACAGTGTCAGTGGTAGAGTCGCATTGCTGTTAGCCAATCAGAGGCAAGATGTTAAAATATCAGGAAATAAGACTCCAAATCCTGCCGTGTTCACTTAAAGTGTGTTAAAAATATGACTAAAGTTTTTCCACGTGTTTTTCCAGAAAATGTGGTTTTTTTTAAGTTAAAAATTATCACATTTGTGTGAATTTTACCCAGATATAACATGAATGACCAAAATAAATGAATGAATGCATGGATGGCTTATTTACATTAAGCTTTCCTATCCTGGTGATTCAAAAGGTTGTAAAAATTAGACAAATTACCCTCTTACCATCGACATGTATACGCATACACGGGTTAGATGCAGCAGATCCACACTAGTCATAGAACATTAATGTGTCCTCATCCATTTCGCAGTCATCCGGTCACTCAGGCTAACGGAAGAGCTGTCCACATGATTAATTTGTCAGGTGACTGACCAAAAGGAAAATGTAGGCTATACTGTTTTTGCCCGAGTAGCATGACTATATTTTAGTGATAGAATATTTTTATTTGTACATCTTAAAAGGTGTTTTTTTTCTGCAAGAAAACAACAAACTGGTAAAATTCTATTTTCAGATTATTCAGATTTTTAAAAAGAAGCTGGATCGAAACGTATTGTGGTGTTCTGAGATTTTTCAGAGATTATTTTATTGTCTTCCTTGTGCATTTAAACAAATTCCTCTCCATTCAATTGATCTGTGGCAAGCCTTTGACTGAAATCCTTGTTTTTGGAGAAACTTCATAAAAATCCGAGTTCTTCCGCCAGAAGTGCACACATCACATCTGCACTTTGGCTGATGATTACCTCGACTCAGATGCTGATGAATGCCGTTTCTTGACACACAGCTCACATCAGCATTCCATGTTAGCCATTAAAAACGCCCAGCACGGGAATAACACAGCATCAAGAGTTCATTTGGGATCCAGTTGTTGAAGCACATGAACATTTTTAATGATGACGATGCAGGAGTAAAGTTCTTATTCATCCATGGATTAAAATAAAAAATCTGTGCTTTTCACTCATGCATCAATACTGGCTTTAAATATTTTATTATCACCCTGCAACTTTGTTCAAATATAGAACACAATTTGTGTGTGATTAGTAACTTGGAGTGTAGAATTTTTCACTGTAAGGTGGTCTTAATTTCATAGTATTTCCCATTTAAAATGAATTTAATATCTTAATTTAACTCTCTTATGCTTTACAATCCTCTAACTTGTGTGATGCTGAACAGACTTTTGCCCGGTCGTCAAGGTTTTGGTCTGTGTCATGGGTGGTAGAAGGTGTAGTAGCTGTTCCTGTGAGTCATAGTGCCTGAGTGGAGGCTTTTACTGCAGGGTGATGGTGCTGCAGGCTCGGACGTACACCGGAGCTCTGAGACGAGCTGTAAGCCTCAGTAAGAAGAAGCAGATCTTTTCTGCAGGCTTGCTAGCTTATTGTAGGCGTCCGCTGTTGTTCCTCCCACCCAACTCTTTGGTAATTCTCCGTCCCAAATGTAGGCAGGCAAGAACAGAAGAGATGAGGCTCATCAATTCAGCGTCCACTGACAGCCCTCTCTTACTGTGGCCTCCCTCCACTTTAATCCCATTCTTTTATAGTCTGGTAGCCCAAGGCAACCAACAAGTCCGTGCCAGCTAATGTGTGCATGAGAGGCGCCTGTTGGTACACAAGACCTTGGTGTCAGAGGCTGAATGGAGCACAGGGTTCATCCTAATGATGAATCAAGAAGGAAAACAGCAGAAACTAGCCTCTGAATTCTGCAAGGAGCTGATCATCGGTTTTAAGTGAGATTTGTCCCAAACTAGAACCTGATAGCTTTGCTCTCTAGGTGATTTAGCTCTGAATAAATGATTTACAACCACCGGGTTTCACTGTCCCTTCGTTTCTGGATCACGTATCCCTTCTCGCACCCTGCTGAGACATTTCAGTCACAAGGCATACAGCCAGGATTTCACATTTCAAAGTACAGAGCTATGGTATTTTTTTTTCCTATGCTTCATAAAAAGGCAAACAGCTTTTTTACGTGAGCACACACACACTGATAACTCTGTGAGAGGGTGGAAAGTGTCATAAATAACTGCTGCATTAAAGGCCGAGCGGCATGGAGATCCCTATATTTAGCAGCGACAGTCTGACACTTTCAGACAGTTTTTTTCTTCTTGTGTTGCGACTAAAAATTAAACAAAAATCCAAAACTTTCCCTCTTATTACTGATCTTTGTAAACCTAGAAGATGTGTTCTTGTATTAATTTCTTCTTTTGTGCTGAATTATCACAGATCTTGTTCTGCACTCTCAACACCCACAAGATTGACATGGAGAAGCTGCTGGGGGGTCAGATCGGTCTGGAGGATTTTATTTTCGCCCACATAAAAGGAATCAAAAAGGAGGTGGAAGTGCATAAATCTGAAGATGCTCTTGGTCTCACTATCACCGACAACGGAGCAGGTTATGCCTTTATAAAGGTAAAAAATTCTACTGTACAAAATTAGGCTTTATTGTGAAACTACTTGGGTTTATTTAAGAGGAAAAAGAGGGAACTTTTGTTTTATTAACATTTTATTGTCATCTAACATCTCATATCTCTCTTTCTCTGTCTCACTCACTCACTCACTCAGTCACTCACTCACTCAGTCACTCACTCACTCACTCTCACACACACACACACACACACACACACACACACACACACACACACACACACACACACACAAATGAAATTATTTATTTTAAACGAGATAAAAAAATGCAGTAACTTGACTTTTCACTTTATGTGGAAGAGAGAAAATCCACTATTAGTTTAAAATGTGAACTTGGAACAAAACAATTTAATTAATTAAATATTAAAATTAGATGTTATTTGTGAACCAAGACCAGTCAGATCCTTCTTTTATTTTTTGCAGTCAGTGAATTAAATGTTTACTTAAAATTTCACCAAAGTAGAAGCTTGTTTCGTGTTTTTTTTTTATTAATTTATTTTTTTATAGGATTTTCCTTTTTTTTTTAACAGTTTTGACATTCTGTGGGAAATAAATTTGACATCCCAAAAATTTATTTTATGGACATATTTTAAAAAAATGTATTTTTCTTTAAATGGGTGTTCTGACAGGCATGATTATGCATTATTTACCAGATAGGTGAAGTATTAATCATGCTGTTTTCCTGTAACTGGTGACCGATGTGCTTTTGAACTGGTTTTCTTTGAAGTAGCTTTTCAAGCCCTGCTTTATTTAATGAGTCATGTCTGTGTTGATGGATTCATGTTTATATCACATCTAACACAAGCGCCACCGTGTGGTGCTGTTGCTGCACTGCACCCTTATGACCCCACGCTGTAACTGAGCACCTCTTACTGCAACATATCTGTCAGACTTCTTAATCTGCCTCGATTTAAACTTTTTTTAAATCGAATTGTTTACTTCCTGTTCTCTCTCTCTGCACGGCAGCGAATCAGAGAGGGCAGTGTTGCAGACAAGGTGAAGGTGATCTGCGTGGGCGACCATGTGGAGTGCATTAATGGCCGTAAAATCGTTGGGATGAGGCATTACGAAGTGGCTCGTATGCTGAAAGACCTGCCCAGGGACAAAATGTTCACTCTGAAGCTGGTGGAGCCGATGAAGGCTTTCGGTGAGTAAAAGAACAGAAACGTAGGTGACACCATAAAGTGTCAGATGCTAAAAAAACCATCACCATTTTGTAATTGACAGAAATGCTTGAGCCAAGATCTAAAGGTGGAAAACCAAGCAGTGAAAACAAGATTGGCACAGGGAAAAGCACTCTGAGGCTTCGGTCCAAAGGTCCGGCTACTGTGGAGGAAGAGGTAGGTCCCTATTTCACCTGCAGGTCACCTGCACCAAAGCTGATAAAAAAAACCCATGATAAATTAGAAGCTCGAGTAGGTGCAACCTAATAGCCACAAGTCACATGACCACAAGTCACTAACATGAGACTAGAGCTAAGATTAAACATCTTGGCCTCAAAATAGAACAAAAATAAATTTGTGTTGGTGCTAGATGAGCACTGATGTCTCCAGTCCTCTCCAGTGGAGGAACTTTTACACTTTCCACTCCAGTGTGTTGACTAAAAAATGGATTCTTATCTGGTATGAGTAAATATTGAGTTTAAATTTCTCTCCTTTTGTGCTAGTGAGTGTTTTACAACACTGAAGTCTAAATGCTCGAGAATTAGCCCTAAATTATTTGTGTGTTGCAGCCGACAGAATTCGAGGAGAAGGCCATCAAGAAAGTGGATGACCTCCTGGAGAACTACATGGGCATCCGAGACACTGAACTTGGTGAGGAAATGTTCAAAATCGAAATTTATATATTCCCTTCTTGGTTGTTTCCTGCTCTCTGTAGATGATTTTAAGAGATGTTTTGTCAGTTATCTGTATAAAGGACCCTAATTGAAAGTGGGTGGAGTCTCTAGGGACAGGAAGTAGTCTTCTGATCATTGCCATAGGCTGTGTCCTAATTCAGTAGCATCTTTTTAAGGACCAGGGGTCTCATTTATCAAACATTGCGTAGAATCCTTACTAAAACCGTACTTAAGCTCAGCAAAAAAAATGTACTTACGCCAAGTAGGTTTGTGATCAAACATGGAGTACGCACAGCTGCACGCTATCTCCGCTTCATAAATCAGAAACTATTTAGAAAGGTTCTCAGCTGCTTTAGTCACATCCCACCCTCACCACGCCCACTTACTGCCACAAATAGTCAATGCAAAGTACCTTGTGGATCTCATGCATATACATAAGCCGGCTTGTTGCAGCATTTCGATCACGACCGCAGATCAAGGAAGCGCTATTTCTCAAGCAGAAGTTAAGGTACCTGTGGGTGAGGTGGAGAAATGAAAGGAAGTGCTTTTGCAAAACAAATAAAAGAAAATCCGGAGTAGCACAGCGTTGCTGAAGCCGTCAATGCTGAGTTCTTCAGAGAGATCTGTGGCGGATATAAAAAAAAAAAAGATCCAATAAGGACTCGATCCCCAGACTCCCAGGTGAAAGTCACACGCGCTAACCAGTCACTCAAACGGATATCTCCCTCGTCCAAGTAGCCAGGGTGCATGATCAATCGGGTGACAGTGACAGGACACACACACTGTCACAGGCGCATGACATTCTGTCTCAATCTGTCCCCCTGCTGATATTCTGCATTCCGTATTCAGCACTTCAGCCTGTGTGTGTGTGAGTGTGCGCACATTTGTGTGTGTGCGTGTGGGGGGTCTTGTTCTGTGTGAAAACAAAGCAGTACAAGTGATAATGCTGCAGAATTTCATAATTTTATCCTTCTCAGCAGCAGCACTGCAGGTGCTCTCCATGTCCAACATGTGCGTAGTCAACTTAAAGTTGCGCACATTTTTCAGCTAAGTTTTCTTTCATAAATCCCAAAGTTTGCGTGGAAAATTGCTTACGCAGTTTTCCGACCCCATTTTGTGCGTAAACAAGCTTGCATGCATCGTACCACAAATGTGGAATGAGCTACCAAGCACTACCGGAACAGGAGCTTCCTTTTCAATTTTCAAGAAACTCCTGAAGACTCTGCTCTTCAGAGAGCATCTTCTTAACTAGCACCCTCCCTGCACCCGTCCCCCCTCTCTACTGTCCACTCCTTGTTCCCTCCTCTCCATGATTGATGTCAAGTAGTTGTTGTTATTGTTGTTGTTGGCCTCAAGGGCAACATGCCGATTATCACTTGTAAGTCGCTTTGGATAAAAGCGTCTGCTAAATACATAAACGTGATAAATGAGGCCCCCGTTGCTACCTGGTCAACGTAAGTCATGTCCTTTCTTGACCATTAAAACTGGACATGAGTGTTTGTGAATTTGGACAGTGTAGCCCTTACCAAAGTGTACATCCTATTGCCTAGCAACCACATTGGCACTAAACAGAAGTCAAAACCTAACTTATGCCCCTGTACCTTGCAGAACACCGTTTAGTTTGACTTAACTTGACTCAGCTCAGTGTTGTTGCTTTAGCCTCTAGTGGAGCTGGGTCCCATCTGAAGTTTTGAATCTCCACAGCTGCTACGATGGTCGAAGTTGGCCGTGACAAAAAGAACCCAGATGAATTTGCCACGGCGCTCGACGAGACCCTCGGAGACTTTGCCTTTCCTGATGAGTTTGTCTTTGACGTCTGGGGGGCCATCGGTGATGCCAAGCAGGGAAGATTTTAAGTTTGCTGCTGCACACACACGCACACACACACACACGCACGCACGCACACACACACTCCTTCCTCAACTCAGAAAAGCCACTGGACAAACATGGACAGAGTTCTGTCACTTTATTCTTTACTGTAATCTTCTAAAAGTTTTTGTGATCTGCTTCCCGTGTGCTGGAGAGTTAAAGAGCAAGTCAACCCCTATCAGAGTCCTACTGCACCCACACTTCCTGTTTGAAAAATGCATTGCTCAAGAGATTTTCCGTTGGAGAGATGCGAGTCACTAAAAACACACACTGCTCGGTCAGAGAAATGGCAGCAAGTTTCCTAGTCTGGAGGATTTCTCTCCTCCTCCTTCGCCAGAGGAAAGGGAGGGGAGAATGGATTTTTATCGCTTTGTATTGGCTCATGAATGGTCGAGGCAACCGCGGAGTGGTCAAGACTTGGCTGCAGAACAGCCACCTAAGAAATACTGGCTAACGTCAGAAATCACAGCTTAGCCAAAAGCAATGGCTAATTCAAATTCAAGTGTAGTGTATACTTTAGACCTGGAGAGGGCGCCACAAGGATTGTTTTAGGGATATTTATATTTTAATTAAGATGCACTTAAATGCCAAAAATAATGCCTACACATGTTTACACCACTATTAGATACTCTTTTATATAGTTTCTCTGCCGAAAAAGTTGATTTGGGGGTGACTTGCTCTTTAACTCATTCACTGCCAGCCATTTCCTGATCACTAACGGCCTTCGCTGCCAGCGTTTCTCACCGGTTTTACTGTTTTTTAAGAGTCACAGAACGTTGCGCGCTAGCATGATGTTGATGCCAAAACAACCAAAACAAAGAGGAGACTCACCTCTTACATCAGGAAGAAGCCGCGTGTTTCGAGCGTTATCCGTTCTTTCATAATCCGTTGTCGAATTGTGATCGGCAGACGCTTTTCTGGTTCGCGCCTCACTTTTTTTTACAGGAACGGCCCAAAACTATCTCCAAACACATGGATGTGTTGCTTCCTGATCATGTGATCTGTGATGTATGCGGATGAAGATTGGCTTCAGGGCTGAGATGTTTGTTCTGTCAGCGCGGGGGCTCGTTCCGATGCTCAAACAGTAAAAAAATGCAAATGACGACTTTAGTCGTCATTGGCAGTGAATGAGTTAATGGTTTATTCCAAATCCTAAAAACTCACAGCAGTCAACAGGAGTTTAAAGTGGCCATAAGTTGCACTCAAACCCAAAATTTGACCACCTTCCTACTATTTTCTAGTTGTCCATGTATAAATATACAGATGTGGCACACATCTTTTATAGATTTTTTTATTCTTATGTCAAAGAGCTGCTGATTTTACAGCAGAATTATTTAATTAGAATAATTAGTAGTGATTATATTTCTGTCGTGACAACTATTTCTCTTTATAGAGCTTTCATATAAGTCATATTTGGCAGCCATCATGTTGCATAATGATCTTCAATTTTTCAGCAAGTTACCATACATTCCTTCTGTTTTTCTCACTGTTAAATAGATATTTAGATATGTATTCCACCATTTTCCTGTAATTTATTTAATCATGTAAAATAATTAGCTGTAAGATTTGTTATTAAGACATATTTAGAGTTGTGTTTACGATTGGATCAAGTGTATCATCTCAAATGCTGAAGCATTAATGTGAACCCACACGCTAATCCACGGACGTGACCGGTTTGTAGCAGTTTAACGAACCAGGAGGGATCGCTGCTGTTGCCGAAGACAATAAAATCTGATCGATTGTAATGATCGTTTCTGTGTCTTCAATGAACTCTGCTCATAAATGTGACTCAAAATCACTCGTTACAACATTTTAATTTACACACTTGGCTGTATAAAATACATCAATTCACTAAACCAACATCCACTCTTCTTTAATTGAAGATTAAAAAGGCATGTAAGAGTTTTACATCACATGCAGAACAGAAACGACACACGTAAATATGGCAGGACTTGTTATTTAAAAGACTTGGTTGTGTAAATTATAGGTCATATTGTGAATATTACCACACAATACTGTAGAGGATTTTTGGAAGCACATTGCTTTAGTTGTTAATATTTAATGGCTAATAAAGAACCACAGATGGAGAGAAGGAAAATCCTGCTAACTTTAAAAATGGAAGTTATTAACCGTTCTTACAGTTTTAAGGCCTTCATCAGGAGGCTTTAGGCCCGTTTCTTTTTGTGGACATTGAAATCTGGCTTTCACATTAATCCAAGAAAACAATGCAACTCTTCTAAAGAAACCCTTTTTTATGAGATGACCCTTTAAGGAAAGAAAACTAGATTAATGTCTAAATATTACAGTAAATCACTGATCTGAATAAAGACAGAAAAATTTTATGGTTTTGGTACTCAACTCATGAAAGCTAAGATAACTGATTTTATGGCTGTCTAAAAAATTGTGATCTCCATATTGTTCAGCTTTAAACTCATAAAGACCTTGCTAATAAGTCACTTATAAGGTTGCAATGACAGTGCAACCAATTTTATGATTGAGTCAAGACTAAATAATCTGGTATTTAAAAAGATAAAACATACCATTATTTTTAAATATTTGATTGATGAAAATTCACAGACTCCCTCAAGTCACGGAAACTCCGACGGTCGGAGTCTCTGTGGGTTCGGAGTCCGAACCAAACGTTGTACTCAAATGGGAGTAAAGCATTTATAGTAACTAGAGCTGATTAAAATCCTCTACAGATATCAGGTATAATATGGCATTTTAGTCAGTAACGTACAGTTATAATAAACAATGACAGCTAACAGAGCAGGGAAAACCGTGCAGGACACGAGAAAAAAAGAAATCAAGCACCGGTGGTTCAAAAGTGAGTTTGGTTCAGTCAGAGGAGACCGAACTGGGTTTCTAAACATCAAGAGGGCCTGTTGGAGGGAGAAGATGTGTAGCCCTTACAGCCTGGAGGCGCTCCCCGTTCCGCTGTCTCCTCACAGCTCGTCTCCGGTGTGACCCTGTTTAAAGGCGTCGCCCGTCAGCTTCTCCTGAGCTTCTTCCATCGCTGACCAAACTGAGCAAAACAAGGAAAATCCATTTAATCATAGAGTTGGCCTATCTAGCAAATATCTGCTAGAATAAAATACTGTCTAAAATTCTAAAACCAATTTTAGTGTTATTTCAATTCAATTCAGTTTATTTATAGAGAGCCAAATCACAAGAGTAGTCTGAAGGCACTTTACAAAGTCAACATTCCAACTGAACCTACTTATCGGTGGATTTAGTTCTGTTCAATATGCCAGTTAGTTAAGGTTCCTATTTAAGGAAACCCAGAATATTGTATCGAGTCACTGACTTGTGTCAGTGACTTTACAGCAATCCTCATACTACGGAAGCATGTAGTGACAGTGGAAAGGAAAACTTTCCTTTGAATTATGAAAATATCCCAAGGCCCTCCAAGGTAGCTGAGCTTCTCAGCTTACAGCAGCCAATCGGGATGGGTGGGAGTGACCAGATGCAGCTTCTTTTTTTTTTAACTGAGGAACGACTGATTCTGGAAAGTACTGAAAATGTCAAAACTGAGATGACTATGTGAAAGGGATTTTATAATTGATATCGACCACAGAGCTATCATGTCTTTTAAAAAAATTACAATAGGTCTCCTCTAAAGGATGCAGGAGCTGGGAACATTCAGGAACATTGCTAAGCTGAGTCTCATTCTGTCCCGCTCTGAACATGAGACAGTTATCCACACCTTCATCTCCTCACGCTTAGACTACTGTAACTCTCTTTTCACGTGTCTGAGCAGAACCTCCCTGAACCGTCTACAGGTGGTTCAGAATGCCTGTGCTCGGCTTCTGACCAAGTCCTCCAAACACACCCACATCATCCCGCTTCTCCTCCAGCTTCACTGGCTGCCAGTAAACTTCAGAGTTCATTTCAAGATCCTGGTTCTGGTCTATAGGGCCTTACATGGACAAGCACCATCTTACATTGGTGATCTTCTTAGTCCCTACACCCCCAGCAGGTCCCTGAGGTCCAGTGATCAAAGCCTACTGGTTGTGCAGCGCACCAGGCTAAAGACCAAAGGTGACAGATCATTTGCTGCTGTGGCCCCCAGACTCTGGAACTCCCTCCCCTGAGCCTGAGTGGACTCAGTGGACTCCTTTAAAAGCAGCTGAAGACTCACTTGTTCAAGCTGGCTTTTGTATGACCTTCTTCGCCACTTTCTCTTTGTTCTGCTCTCCACACCTATTCCACCTTCCTCAGGATCCACTGATTTCCCTCTTTCCTATTCACTCTCTCTCTTTCTTAACATTTTTTTAACCACAATTGTCTATTTTTTGCTCATTTTAAATATATTTTTAACCATTTTCTAAATTATTTTTTATATTTTTACATTTTTTGTTTTTGTGAAGCACCTCGTGATTTTTTTTCTTGAGAGGCGCTATAGAAATGATATTTTCTTCTTCTTCTTCAAAACACCTTACCCCATTATAGAAAGCATGATTTGTCAGAAATTAGCACTGACCTTTAGACATCTTTCAAGACTTCTAATTTTAGTATTTTATGACATTTATCAAACATTTTAGGGCAGTACTGGCACTTCTATGCGTCAAGTTAAAAACAGGTTAAATCAATCCTTTTTTTTGTATCTGTTGTTCTTATTGAATTTGTATATTTGACTTTTTATGGTGTATTAATACTGTTGCTACTTTTGCGTATTTGTTTTATGGGACGACGGATGGAAATAGGCATTTTTGCTAAATCTGGGGTAATTACGTTCATTAATAGGAACAGTCCCATTCAAATAATCAACAGTTTTAAATAGAATCTTTAGGCTCCTTGCTACTGACAACACCATACAAAGACACCATTTGTTTTAATTTCTCGCGTTACAACATCAATAAGGTGATTTCCAAACAGATACCAACTGTAAACTTGCTGGATTTCTATTTTTTCTTACTTTAGAACACTAAATCATCTTTTGGTTTTCCTACAGTGTTTTCATGACACCATCCTTGCTGGGATCATCCTAAAAATTGCCAGTGTCCATATAAAAAGAATGAAATTGAAAGATTTTAGTTTCTCTTCCTTAAGAAAAAGTGGAAATAGTTTGAGACATTTGCACAGAACGTAACCCCCTACCCTGCTCTGCTGTGCTGTAGAAGTACTTGTAGTTGGGATTCCCATTTTTGTTGCTGATTTCTGGATGGACTTTGCCTCTCGGATCTGTAAGTGGAACAAACAGGTTTTTTAGTAGTATGGTGCACGTTTATTGATGCTCCTTGAGTGTATGCAGGCTTTTAAATGTGATCAGCAGGGCAAAAGGGACCAGCAGCAAATTCCCAGGGAGCTGTCCCACCGATGGGATTCCTGTCAGGACATGTTTAAAGGCCCCGGTGTGATCCCGCTCCAAGAGCTGCTCAGGCTCTGCTATAGTATGTCGCTTCTTGAAGAGCCACTGCTTTTTTATCGTAAAGATCTCAATCGGGTTTTATGCAAATGAGTTCATACCGAGGAAAAGAATCCGAGGAATGTATCCACCGTCTGGGCTGAAGGCTTCATCCTTGGGCTCCTCTTCATCCTGTCATAAACAGTTACAACTTTAACTACCTGATGCATGACTGCTGCTTTAAGGAAAATGAAAACAAAATTAAACCAATTGCTGTTTCTCACCTCCACATTCACCATTACAAAGTTGTGTGCCAGTTCAGAGATTTCCTTGGATTCAGCAAATTTGGGCTTCAGGGCTGATTTGTAACAAATAAGAAAAGAAAGTTATTTAAAAATGTGACTCTTCTTATCTCTACTTGATAGTTTTAGAGTAAAAACTTTGAACATTCTGAAAAGAAGCCTTTCACAGAGCGAAAGCCGGTATGGGCCATTGCCTTCCTTGTTTTTGAGGAAAATCTGAGCTAAATGACAACTTCCTGGAAGTACTTCTGTGTTTTGGGATTGGCAAAAAAAAAAACTAAAACCAGATGGAAGTAACTCCAAGATCAAACGCCTCACAAGTCGGACCAACTTCACTGTTGCTTGTATTATTTATGAGTGCCAGTGGACACCAGAGTTTTGTCTGGCATTCCCAGAAAAAGAAACAGTAAGTAAATACCTTTGCAGGCTCCACACCAGCTCTTGTGGATGATGAGCATGATCGGCAGCCCGCTGTCAATTCACCAACATGGACACATGCATCAAAGTCAGTCAGAACAGTAAATATACAACGTAGACTTTCTTTATATAAACCGGAAATGCAAGATTTTTAAAAGGAAGGGAGTTGGGACCCAAATGAAAATGTTTCTTGTTCCTCCAGATAATATTTACACAAGAGGCTTCAAACAGGAAGCTACCTGGCTTCAGCTTCCTTCTTCCCATCTTCCAGCGTCCTCCAGTGGATATTGTCCCCAAATCCTGCAGGGTTCATGAGCACAACAGCATTGTGTAACTGGAGTTAAATTTCCACACAAGGGTGGGTCTGGCCTAAATACAGAATCAATACAAAGAACTGGGACAAATAACTAATATAACTGGTATGTTATGTTAAGGCTAAACTTTTAAGTAAAATAAAATCAATTATTTTAAGAATTGAACGAGAAACTTAATGGTTACTTTCTGTTTTGGTGGAGATAATTATTAATTTAATCAAATTGAATCGGAATTAAACAATACAGGTTTAACAGACCTAAAGTATTGTTTTATTTTTGCTTTAAGTCAAATGAGGTGTTTGTAGAAGAAGAAGTATCATTTCTATAGCGCCTCTCAAGATAAAAATCACGAGGCGCTTCACAAAAACAAAAAATGTAAAAATATAAAAAATAATTTAGAAAATGTTTAAAAATATATTTAAAATGAGCAAAAAATAGACAATTGTGATTAAAAAATGTAAAGAAAGAAAGAAAGTGAACAGGAAAGAGGGGAATCAGTGGACGAGGAAGGTGAAATAGGTAGGGAGAGCAGAATAAAGAGAGTGGTGAAGAAGAAGTTATACAAAAGCCAGCTTGAACAGGTGAGTTTGAAAGCTGCTTTTTAAAGGAGACCACTGAGTCCACTGATCTCAGGCTCAGGGGGTAGTCTTGTAGAATTAACTTTTTCGTGTAAGATTTATTAAAATGCATAAAATACATTTTCAAGAAATAAAGCATGAGTGTCTGGAAGTGAAACAAGTTAGTGACACTAGACACAACACGCCTGTTTATTAGTCTTCAAGGACGCACACAATGTGATCCGGGATGCTGACAAAGAACAGCAGCTCTCATTTCTACCACACTTTCAATGAAGCTGCTCCAGCCTGCTTAAAAAACTTATTTTCTCCTATATATGAACTCACCTCTCCCACTGGCGGCTTCCGCAACCACATCAAAACACGAAAAAGACAATAAAACCTGGAAAAAGGAGAAAGCAGCGACATTTACTACAGACAGTTGCATGTTTATTGCCTTTCTTTCCCACAACTGCGGCTAGCAGGCAATGGTAGTAATGGAAAGCTCAATAGTCAGTGACCCGGATGTGCAACCGCAACATTTCACAATAAAGGTTTTGTCTCGGAATAAAAATCTTAACAGCGCGCATGCTAGCCATGGTAGCGCGCGCGTGTGTCTCGCTTGCTATTGGCCACCAGCTTTTTTTTTTCCCATTTAGAGACGCGTTCACGTGACATTACATCTACACAACCGCGTGCTCTTCAATGCAGTGTTATGTCAAGCTAGACAAACAATGTTGGTATAAAACCGGAAATGACGACGAAAATTGCAAAAAATAAGTTAACCAAAGGAAAGCAGAAAGTTGTAAGTAATTAAGTTTTTGTTATTAAATCTTTGCTATGTATATATTAAATTTATTTCGTTAGTAAAATAGCATTTTTCCCCAAATTTGTGTAAAGTAATTACAATTTCTGCACGTGGATGAGATTTATTTGGCAAAATAATCACCGGAAGTTGTATGTTAGACTACTAATTTGACTGGTGTCTAATCCGTCTTGCTCCGTTCCTAGCAAACACAGTTCAACGGGCTGTTAATTCACAATCAGAGGTAAATATACCGTTTAAATTAGCGCTAAATATTTTATTTGATGTTGTGAAAGCCGTATCTTTTGGTGTGGCTCAGGCTTTAAATAGATAGTCAAAGTTATTTCACGGCATTATTTTACCGTTAGCGTTAGCTCAGTCTACCTCGATATTTCTCAACTAGCTAGCTTCAGTTAAGCACCAACGTAAGTTTAAAATAACTCATTAATTAATTAAATTAATTTCTTTATTTTGCTTTGTTTAAATTAATTTCTTTGATTTGATGGGGTTCATGTGAGTAAAAATGCTAACTGGCTTGTCTAAATTCTGCTAACCTGCTGCTAAGGTGTGAAGAAAGGGCTCTTGCCCAACACACTGCTTAGCTAGCATTCTTGTGTCTGAACGGCTAGCTGGTTGGGCGGTGTAAACTTGTATATTTGGGTTTTTAACGAGGATTTAATTTTTATTTTATTTGTTTTATTAAACCAACAGAACATTATGAATCAAGAGAAGCTGGCCAAACTTCAAGCTCAGGTCCGGATAGGAGGAAAGGTACAATTTAAAGCTTGACTTTTTGTTGTAGTTCCAGATGTGATGACAAATGTTTAGTAGTACTTGATTAAAATTAGTCGGACATTTTATTTTAAGAAGTTTAAAGGTATTTGGAGTCGGCCAAATCTTTTCTACTGACTTCAGCATTCTCTTTGTTAGGTGAAGCTCTGGCCCCTGCATCTGTGACCTTTGTGGCTTTGTGGCATTAACCGTCAGGTCTTCAGCCACACACTAGATGGCATTATTTTTAATTTTGTTGGGAAAAGTTCTTCCGGCTCCAGCAGCCACATAACATTTTCTACAATAAAAAAAATACTATCAATTAAAAATATAGTCCTTCCCTGGCCTTCCTTTTGCGACTAATGTCCTTATTGTTATTAATTTCTACATTAAATACGTGAAACCGTGTAAAAATCAGGGTAGTGCAGAGAGCTTTGAAGGGGCGAGCGCTCAAAGTTAAAAAGGGGGCACTTATAGAACAAAACTTTTAAACAGATTCATGATCCAACAAGTTTCAAGATTCAGATATTCAGAAATGAACGAAATTGAACTACAGAACCTCTGCACGGACAAAACGTCAAAAACACTAAATCAAAATACTTCAATAAATGGGACACATCCTGGCTGCAAAGCATTGCACCTTAAAATACAAAATTTTGTTTTTACTTGTGTTTATGTAGACAGATAAACTTGTTATGATATGTAGATAAATATGTAGATACATAAACTTGTTTATATTCAGTACAAGTTACATAGATTTTTTTCTTTGCTTCCGTTTGTTGAAAAATGAGAAAAGCCCCTTGAGAAAATAATCGTGAATTAAATCGCAATTGCAATATTGAAGAAAAAAATCGCTATTAGATTATTTTCCAAAATCGTTCAGCCCTAGAAGGATACAAATTTCTATCTCAGCCAGCTGGGGGTGTTGTCAGTTGTGCTCGGTTTGCAGAGTCTGCGCCAGCTAATGCTGCAGCGCAGGTACTGAGATACATATCAGAGCAGCATATATGCAATTGATGCACATTCGTGCACACGCACATTCATCTAAACCTCCGCTATGTTCTGAAGAGCTATCAGTTCAGCATACAGATGGCAAAGTCACACTGTTGTTAAAAACAAACTGTATGATCCGACTGGTAAAATGAGCATATTAGTGTGTCATACGATTGATAAAACAAAATGTGTGGTGATCTGATGGCTAAAATGGCTTATTAGGATGTCATGCAGTTACTAAAACAAAGCTTATGTTGATCAGACTGATAGGACCATCCATCAGTGTCATGCAGTTGTTCTACACAAAGTATATGATGATCTGATGGGTAAACTGGCACATCAAAGTGCCATACAGCTCAAAAAAGGCATGATTTGACAGACGTGTTGTCAGGTGGGCATATGCTGGGGTTGAGCAATATATCAAAAATGTATCGTTATTGAACTGTCTGACACTAGTTGATATTGTTTTTTCCATGTAAATGAATTTGATAACAAAAAAAATGAAAAGATGTGTGTAGGTTGGCCACGTTCATGTCCCTTTAAGAAGCTGTACCACCTCGAGTCATGTGACGTGACTCGCATAATACACGTGACAGCCCCCATCTAGTGGACAACTTTCTGTGTATACATGTAGTTATCGTCCATTTATCGAGGTGAACGCCTCACTATACTGTGATATTGATTTTAGGCCACATCGTCTAACTCATTATGCTGGAATATACACATATATTTTGAAGAATGGGGAAAAGCTGTGCTTTAAGAGCAAGTCACCACCAAATCAACTTCTTTTTTGCTGATAAAATATATAAATGAGTGTCTAACCATGCTGTAGACATGTGTAGTCAATAATTTGGCACTTTAGTGCATTTTCATTCATTTAAATATTCTGCCTGAAACTGTCAGTGTTGCGCTGTCGTCAGGTAAAAACTCTGCACTACATTTGATTTTAAATCTGCTATTGCTACTGGCTAAGAGGTACACAATGACATTAGCTGGTACCATATGATGTCACAATGCTGTTGGGAGCATGTTTGTGTGCATTTGTTTGCAGCTCCGCCCTCTTGTCTGTCAGGCAACAGCATTTGTTGCATTTTTCACACATGAAGTGGGAGTAAGTTTGTTTCTTGTAGGGGGTGACTTGGTCTTTAAAAAAGCTTTTATGCCCAAATTATATATGAAAAATCTGTGTGGCAATCTTAAGGGAGACTGTGGTTTTAGCTAAATGCAGAATTTATCAGTTTTTGCCATTTTATGAGTTAAATGAACCATTCTTACAACATGTAATGTGATGTCAGAAATGTATGACTGAGAATCTTAATCACACCGGATATGGAAACCTGTTAGATTTAATGTCCTGGTTCAGTATGCATTTGATCTCCTCCTAGGGGACCGCACGCAGGAAGAAAAAGGTTGTTCACAAAACGGCGACAGCTGATGACAAAAAGCTGCAGGGCTCGCTGAAGAAACTGGCAGTGAACAACATTGCTGGGATAGAAGAGGTGAGACATCAAAGGAACATGGATGACACCATCGTGGTTTTTTAAATATATTTTTGTCTTTGAAAGTTGAATCTTTTATCAGTGATGTGCCATGAGGCATAAAACAGGATGGAAGCCTGAGTTAAGGGTTCTCCCCAAGATCTGGCTTATTTTTAGAAAGCTCTCAGCGGCTACACCTACCTCAAAATGTTTGAGAATACAAACAAAAAAAAAAACATACAGATGTGGGATTTTTGCATTGACTTCTCTCATCCATCCCGTTTTCCCCACCCTTAAAGGTGAATATGATAAAAGACGATGGGACGGTAATTCACTTCAACAACCCCAAAGTTCAGGCGTCTCTGTCTGCCAACACCTTTGCCATCACGGGCCACGCTGAGACCAAACAGCTGACGGAGATGCTGCCGGGCATCCTGAGCCAGCTGGGAGCTGACAGCCTCAGCAGTCTGCGCAAGCTGGCCGAGCAGTTCCCTCGACAATGTGAGCACACGCAAACCGCATGTGAACTGTGTCAAATTTCAGCTTTGAAGTCACTCAGGAGGATTTTCTGTCAAATGAACGACTGAAAGCAAAAGCTTTATCACCACCTGTAGGACTGGAAAGAAATGGTAAACCCATAAGTTGTAAACAGTTGCAGATGACCCAGAATTGGCCTCACAGCCAGTTTTCTACACACAGGAGCCATGTTGGATCATTAGTACTGTTGAATGTGAGTCAGGGACCCACCCTGTCCTGCCGGTCATTGACTTACTCAACCTAGACATGGAGGCTTTTCCTGTTTAACAGGAATCGCGTCTTCTCTGCTGTCCCCCGATGTGTCTCTGAAGACACGTGGACATCTGAGTCCTGACCCGAGGAACCGGTTCTTGTTAGTTTGTGATAAGTGTACTGTTACTCTTTCACGGTTAAATAAAAAAACACGTGAATTTAAATCAATTGGACACAAAATATATATATATACATTTGATGCGATATGCATTTGGATTACTTACATTACTTTGATCTTAATTCCCACTTTTGAAGAGCGCTTGAGGGCTTAAACGTTCTCCTGTGACATTTATTAAACTCCCACCTTGCTGACACACATCTGTGTCAGACATTAGCATCTGTTCTTTGTCGAATTTGCTTAAAACAAACTGAATATTCAGCATGTTTCTGTGCAGTTGAGCAGATTTTCTGTGACATGTTTTGTTTTTGAGTGACTGGAGGACAGGAGGAAAAGTACCGTGACCTCAGCAAACCTGCACCAATAAATGAAGACACCGATTTTAGGAACTCTAGTGAAAAAAGGGAACATTCTGGAGTCATTGTGGGTCATAGAGGTCTGGATGATTCTCATAGAAATGGTTCAGGTTTTATGTTAAGAAAAGCAAACGTGTAGAGAAAATTGGGCCTTTTGCATCCTTAAAGATTAAAACAAAACATTTTAGGTTTTGATAATAAAGTCATTTTTAGGTTTTGACTTTTAACATTGGCATTTGTTTCAACAGCCATGGAAATGAAAGCTGTCAAAGAGGAAAATGCAGAAGAAGAGGATGACGATGTACCAGGTAGAGATGCATAATTACTTTAATTTTGTGGAAAAATATCACAATTTTTACTTTTCCCTAATTGTATTGTAATGTATTTTTAATCACTTTTAAATAATTAGAATTTTTAAGGTTTTGTTTTTTAAGTGCCTTGGGATTTTTATCTTGAGAGGTGCTGTATAAAAGATTGTTTCTTCTTTTCTAATTGTGTAAATTATCATTTTGATTCCTTTATACCTGGTTTACATACAAAATAAAACTATTCTGTCCATTTATATGTTAAAGTCCCCTTAAATGGGTACATTTATATTATGTTTCATATGATTGGAATTAAATGAAGTTTTGAATAAAACAATGTTTGTTTTCAGTAAAAACACTAATTTATTTCTTTTTTGCCTCAGATCTCGTGGAGAACTTTGACGAAGCTTCAAAAAATGAAGCCAACTGAGGAAAATCCTTCTACAAACGTTTTATTATTATTATTATTATTTTTTATGTTATGCAGACTCATAAAGGTTATTTCCTCTGTTGTTGAAACAGCTGTTAAAGGGGCAGTGCATCACCTGCTGAGACATCACACCTCTCGCAGCCACAATGTGCAGATATGTTCTGATTGTTAAACGCGGTGACATGGACACACCATCTGTAAGACCCTCTGCACCCAAAGAAGTCCAGCTACATTAGAAATAAGCTTCTTGTATAACTAAACATAGCTGCTATTTAAGAGATTCTTTATTAAATTACAATTAAACTTAATGATTGATGTACTTGGCATTATAATGGTGGTTATGGATTTAATAAAACGATTTTGAGCTAATGGTTGTTTTATTACTCAGCTTTACTGTTTTGGTATTGAGTAAGACTACAAATGAAAAGCTTTATATTTTCTTAAGAAATAAGTTATGAATGAGTTTTAAGGCCTTTAAATCGCCAAAATTTAGAATAGATAATTGGTTTCTATGCAGAAAATGTGCTAAGCTTATAAAAACACGAAGTGCTCCTCATTGTTGAGCTTTTTTACATTCTTCTTTCATTAAGAGCATTTAAATGCTAGTCACTTGTAGAGGATTTGAATGGAGGTAAAACACCACATCCTGTTTTACTGATCATCTCTAATGCTCTGCTGCATCGTGCAGATCAATGACTCCGCAACTGTCGTTCCCGTAGAGGGCCGAGACTCTGTTACAAGAGCCGAGTGACTCATGTTTGGCTTCAGCCAGCGGGACGGAGCTGAGCTGTGGACCCGTCCCGGGGCTCAATGCGTCTCCTGCTCGGACTGTCAAAAATATCCCTTCTGCTTTTACTGCAGCTGCTGGAGCTCTGAGCAAGAGGAACAGCGTGCTGGCCGAGCAGCCTGAGCTGCGTCAGGGACCTGGAGCTAAACCGGAAACGACTCGCAGAAACTTGGGAGAATAAAAGTATAATAAGTGCATGAATACGTCAAATAGTTATTTGTTATATACAAAGTATGTTCTCAATGGATATAAGCATGTACAGCTCATTTACTACTTTAATAATTCAGTAAATTTGAGATCAAATACAAATTTGCTGCACTTTTCGTGCATCATAATTTTTTGTTATTTTGCACATATAAATGCAAATGTTGCAGCTTCACCCCCACATCAGCACAAAATATTTCAATTACACTGTTACTTTCATTCGTAATGATTTGCAAGTTAATTAGCAAAATGGTATTTAACAGAAAATCAGCTTGTTACTTTTGAAAACACAATACAGCTCTAGTACAATTTCTCACTCAGAATTTATAAGGACCCAAATCGTTCAGCCCTAACCCTTCACACAGGTCTGAGCTATTTTTGGCCAAAACTTAAACCTTTAAGAGTATATGTTGTACAAAAGGTTTTTTCACCGAGTAGTGATTTTAGCTGCCTTAATTGATGAAAATGGTGAACGAATGAATGAATTTATTTAGATTTTACATTATTATAACAGTTGTGTCATTGTACAAAAATAGGTTATGAAATGGAACAATGGAAATTGTAATGGACTGAAACTGATGCTTATTTTGTCCATCCCAATTATCCTCATGTTACATAGAAACTGTAGCATAGTACTAAAATAAATTAGGTACGTACAATTATCTATCTATCTATCTATCTATCTATCTATCTATCTATCTATCTATCTATCTATATATATATATATATATATATATATATATATATATATATATATATATATATATATATATATATATATATATATATATATATAATATGAGTACAAAAAGTTAATAATTGTGATTATTTTCCCAGAGGTTTATGAAACCGCATCCTTGGCTTTGAGCATCAGTGATTTTACTTTGAAAGGAGCAACCGGAAATCCGAGGTTGATCAACTACGGTTGCTCCTACGGCGGATCCTTATTTTCCCAGCGTTAAACCTTGGGGGAGGAATGCTCCAGCGCTGTCGCACAACTACGGCTGGGTTCGGCTGTACTTTTCGAGTAGCGCCGTTCAAGTCAAAAGGCGGCGGAGAGTCTGACCGTGGATGTTAAAAAATTGACGTCAAAGCATTTATTATCTATGACGGGCGCGAGCGGAGTGGCTCAGCGGGAATAAAGATGAGGATTCCTCCGGTGAGTGTTTGGATATTTTGGTTTTTTTACACTTCACAGGTCAGTTGAGCCTCTAAACCGCCATTTCAAATGTTGTTGAGAAGTGAGTAGATCGCTATTATGAATTTGTCTGGTCTGTAAACCTCATGGAACTGTGAGGAATTCCGTAACGGTAACTCCGGATTAAACGTCACTGACACATCACGCTCCTCTTTAGGTTGTAGCTAAACCTTCTCTTCAATGCTAGCAGGAGTATGAGGTAAAAATGCTTCATAATTAATAAGTCTGAGTTATACCGAGTAGGGAGGGTTTCGAGGTAACTGTTACAACTGGAGTGCTACGAACCTCACCGAGTCGGTGACGGTGAGAGTTTCCGTCAGGGCTGCACGTCGCTTCCGTCACTGGGCGCGCGACTGCCCGCTGAATCACTGGAGCTAACACTAGCTAACTGCCCAAGTTGTGCAACAAATCAAACGTCAACAGCAGCGGGTTTTGTGACTTTCCAGTTTAATAACAATGAGTCGTTTCTCCACGTGTTTAGCCAGTCTGCCTGTGAGTGATATTTAAGCAGCAGGGCTGTGTTTGGCCTGCAGGCAGGAGGCGCAGCCACAGTACCACTTTACGGTTACATAACCCCATCACCTATCTGCTGTTCAAGATTAGACCTAATAATTAAGTCTGCTACGGTTATGGTCGTCAGAATTGTTGTTTGTTCTGATGTGGATTTGTGAACAGCAGGGCCCAACCCAGTGCCACCTTTTAATGACCATCAACTTTGGCGAATTTTAATTAGAAAGAATTAAACGCTCTAATATTATTACAATTTTTGGGAATTTTTATAAAGTCTTAATTTCTTCCAGGCAGCCATACCTTTTGGTCTTGATATATGTATAATTTTACGTATTATTGAAGTGACAATTTTTTTCCGGTCCCTGACCATTTTCCCAGTCTGACCATTTTCAGACATTTTTTTCCAAATATGTGATTCATCTTGGCATTTAAAAGCCCCCAAAACTCAGGGGATGAGTCATTGTTGTTTAACACCCAACAGAACCAATTTTATACTAACAGGAAGTCATTTGAAGCTGTTTTTTTAAAGTTATTTAAAAAAAGATTATTTTCAGAAACTGCTCTTTCTTCTTCTACATGCCCAGTTTTGCTGTTTATTTAATGACATTCTGCAAAGATCCTGTAATGGTCAGCTCAATGGAAAAAAGATAGCCACAGTACAAAAGTAAAACAGGAACAACCCTCGACAAGCCTGAACAGCTGTTCATCAAGACCACTTTGATAGATTAGAAAGCCTGGCGTATTGTAAAGAAGTTAGGGGCATTTCCTCTTACTGAACTGACTGATTTATCATGCTTGAACGTGAAACAAACACTACAAATTTGATACCTGAAACAGGAGAGGCTGATGGGCCTCACCGTCTGCAGGTGATGGAGTAGACCTACAAACCAGGCACTCAAACAGAAATGGCCTCCTGTGTGTGTAGAGACCTCCCAGCTTTCTGTTTGATTTCAGAAAGTGTTACACGTGTTGCCCTGATAGCAGATATCAGAACTTAAATGAGAGAAAAGAAGCCCATAATAGCTTCTGACACTCGCTGTGATGCGGCTTCTCATCCTCCTAATCTTTTCTTCTTCAAATCTCTGTAGATTTACCTTTTTAAACTATGCTGTCTAAGAAATCATCTTACGCTTTAGGAAAGTCTGACCTCTTAAAAGTTGTGGCTTGTTTTCCTTTTGTGTGTTTTTGCTTTCATTTATTTGATCTCCAGGCGTGCTGACAAGGGAAAAAAAAGAAGCTTGGAGTAGACGGAGACAGAGCACTCCCTGTCTACTGCTTCTCAGGGTGTTGATATTACATCACAAACACGTCTCTCAGTCATGAAACTGTGTTGTTAGAAAGTGATGTCAGCCCATTCTTAGAGAGAGGAAGTGATGATTTGATGCTTCCTGTGTTTCCCCGCTATAGCCACAGCTGCAGTGTGATGGTGTTGTACTTGGTCATAGGAGCGCCGTAAAACAGGATGTGAACTTGTTGTCGTTGGATTTTTGTTGCATTAGTGAAAAAAGTGCAGCGCAAATATTTTGTTACATCCCAGATTTGTTCAGGAAGTGGTTTTACAGAGAAAAGCTGAGAGCTGTCAGATTAAACGTGTTTCTTTTAATCCAAAACATCCACATCCATTTCTTGATTAGTTGAGTTTTTACTGATAACTCTTTATTATCACCTTATGAAGTCATATTTATAACAGTAATGCAAATGATCCAATAGCCTTCACTGTAAGGCAATAAACCATCCATTGACTGGTCTAGTTGTGTCAACACAAACATGGTTGTTGTAAAAGTGTAGCTCTATTTACGGTAGGCTTTGCCCTTAAAGGTCTTGCTATTGGGTAATTTCTCTGAAGAGCTTTTAATATACGCCAATCGCTGCGGTTTGAGGCTCTGGGGAGACCACAGAAACTCTGCTACTCAGTGATTTGATGCGTGCTTCACGCCAAGAGTCCCTCAGCTGCTTTTTTCTGACTACAAATGCCAACAAACCTGGAACCGCCCACTAGGCTTCAAGTTGAAGACTCAGAAACCTGTTGGTGACACTGTGGAGGGTTTATCCATACCTTTTTACAACCATTGGCCTATTCTCCTATAATCTGAGGTTACGATATTTAACCATTGTTGTGTTCATGAATATGCTCCAAATCAGATGATGCTTTAGCGTGTGACTCCTCAAATGTAAGTAAATAAACTGGATGAAAAGGGTTTAATATATAACTAAATTTAAACAGGTCATTAAAACAAATGTCTAAATCAGGGGTGCCCAATCCTGGCCCTGGAGATCCACTATCCAGCATGATTTACTTGTTTCTCTGCTCCAACATATTTCAGTGGTTGATTCACCTGTGCAGCAGTTTATCAGGCTTTGGAGAAGCCTGTTAATCACTTGCTGATTGAAATCAGGTGTGATGAAGCAGGGTTAAAACTAAAACATGTAGGATACTGGCCCTCCAGGACCAGGATTTGGCACCCCTGGTCTAAATGAAACCTTTTGAAAAGCCATCAAGTCATGAAAACTTTTGCTTTAAACTTTGTTAAATGTTGGAATGATGTAATGTTTGTTTGAAATTAAAATCTAAAACAGACAGCTGAGAACTTCTTTATGTACAACAGTTTACTGAACAAATATATTTTTAAATGTAAAGATCTTAATGCATGCAGGTGGAAAACTGGTCATAAATTATGTCATGGTAATGCAGGGATTGGAGAACATCTTCCTGTGACATCATCACATGTCCATCCTGTTGTCATCAGGACGTTTTAAAGGGGCATTATGCAAGTTTGACAGCCAAAACATGTATAGAAAATTATAAATTTCTTCTTCATACACTCTCCTGCAATGCCCTGGTCCTGTAGAATGAGCCCTGGCATTTTTACTGTGATTGCCTGTTTTTCTGTAAAATCACAGAAAAAGAGAGCTGCTCGGGTCGAGCAGGCTGCTTCATGCGCATTCACGCTCAGGCGTACGTTGTTTCAGCTCTTATCAAGGATATAAATGTTACAGATACGGAAGACTATACTGGCGGTTTAGCTCGCCTAATAAGACTTCAGGCTTTCGTGCAGAAAACCCGGGTTTGATTCTGGATGTGAACAAAGTTGTTTTAGAGTTTCTTTTTTACATTAATGGTATATTATTTTTACAGTAAGATGCCCAAGTTTTTATTTGAGACTCGCCGAACGGCATTGAATTCACAGATAAAAAAGATGTGGGTTCAACTTTCATTTTGGAACAATTTTTCAAGCAAGGGAAGGGAATGATCTGAGCATGCAGGAGGACTGACCCATCTTAAACCTTTGTCGGCTGTGCTGAAGAGAAAGGTACAGAACCAAATTATTTAATTAATTAGCTGCGCGTTCTCCTGTCCCCCCCCCCCCCCCCACACACACACACACACAAGGAGCTGACTGTCTCAGCTGTTATTTTCATTAAGGAATGTGCACGTACAGCATGCGTGCCTCGTGCATGAGCCTCCTATTGAAGCTGCTGTTGCGCTTTTGGCCTGAGGGGGCAATCGCGAGCATAAAAATTCAAAACTCCGTAAAGTCCCTTTAAGGTCTTTTTATACTTAATAAGCAGAATATTTTGTATATTTATTCCTAATTTGACAGGATTGGAGTTAAAGGCTGGCAACAGTTAATAAAGGGTCAAATGACCCAAATCTTTAAAATACATTAAAATGGTATGGAGTTGTTATGAAAGTCATCTTGTTGATGTGACTTAAAACATTCTGGTGTGGTCGACAGCATCTTCACTACAGAACTTTAATCAAAGGTAGCAGGATAAAATTAGAAATGATCAGAAAAATGGAAGTGCCTTTGACATAATGCAGTGTTGTATTTATACATTTAAATAAGGGTGTCCCGGCTCATTGATGAGGAACAACAGGAAGCTCTTTTGTTTGGACAGTGTGGACCTAATGACCTCTTTCAGCATTTTGGATTTTCTGAGCTGTCTACGCCCTTGTCGTATTTTATTTAGTAGCTGGCAAATAATCAAGAAACTCTTCCTTAAGCTAACAGTTGCAAATCTTTAGCATCACTTAAAGATCAAGTAACACCTACTTTAAATTTTTTTGTTTCTGATAACCTGTATAGATGAGTGTCTAATGGTGCTGTAGACATGTGTAATCATTAGTGTGACAGTTTAGTGCAGCTTACTGTACTTTAAATTGAATATTTATGCCCTCTATCGCTGCCTCAGTGCCGCTCTCGACGCCTCTTTTAGATGCGTTTTTTTAACAGCAAGTGTGGATAAAATAAGTCTCCAGCCATGGCTCCCACTTTAATGTCTTTCATGACCACACACTAAAGTGATCAAGGCTTTGAGTGTGTCACGTCTAAAATGGTCGGGGCGGAAACTGGAGCATTCAGACAGTCGGTGCTTGTAATACTTGAATTAATATTGTTCTAACACCTGCTCCTAATTGAACTTTAAGATTACTTTAAATGTTTAGTAACACAAAAAAGCTAAAGCCTATTTGACTTAACTGCTGTGAAAAACCACAAATAAAAACTACTGAACTGAAGTTGTGGCATCCGCATTGTAATTTCACACAATCACCACACAAGTCTTGTCTGAAGCAAGTTTACACGTCTAAAAATACAACTCCGTGGTGCACTTTGACTAAAGATGCATTATTCAGCATCTCTGCTGAGTAATTAAATCTTAATTAGGGTTGGGGTTTTGTCCTGGTGGACTTGTGTGTGTGTGTGTGTGTGTGTGTGTGTGTGTGTGTGTGTGTGTGTGTGTGTGTGTGTGTGTGTGTGTGTGTGTGTGTGTGTGTGTGTGTGTGTGTGTGTGTGTGTTTGTGCAGACTCAGGTCTAAACAGACTGATGTGCAAGGGTCTACTGGTGCCACATTTGTGGGGCTAATTATTTTTAGTCAGAACAGGTGAAACTGTCTAACTTTTCCAAACTCTGAATCAACTGAAAACCAACATCCATCCACCCAACCCATTTCTTCCGCTTATCCAGGGTCAGGTCGCAGGGGCAGTAGGCTACGTCGAGAGGCCCAGACTTCCCTCTCCCCAGCCACTTGGGCCAGCTCCTCCGGGGGAATCCCAAGGCGTTCCCTGGCCAGGCGAGCGACATAGTCCCTCCAACGTGTCCTGGGTCTTCCTTTAGGTCTTCTCCCGGGGGGACGTGCCTGGAAAAACTCACCAGGGAGGCATCCAGGAAGCATCTTTACTAGATGCTCGAGCCACCTCAACTGGCTCGTCTTGGTGTGGAGGAGCAGCGGGTCTACACTTAGCCCCTCCAGGATGATCGATTTTTTTCACCTTATCTTTAAGGGAGAGCCCAGACATTCTGCTGAGAAAACTCATTTTGGCCGCTTGTATCCGTGATCTCGTTCTTTCGGTCACTACCCAAAGCTTGTGACCATAGGTCATAGAAAACCAACATTCCCTATAATAATAATTATTATTATTGCATTTCTGACCGTTCAGCTCCTGCACTAAGGATTAAAATAACATCAATAATAAAAAGGTGTGTCAGTGTAAGGTGTGTTCATCTTCGTGTCTCTTTGACGCCATCACTCTGCAGAGGATCTGGCCTCTCAGCTGTAATCCTCCTCCACTCCTGGTCCACATACGAACCATCCTGTTTCTCATTTGCAGCACATCACGTCCCGACTCCAAGGTCTCATTGTGACCAAGGACAGTCTGGAAAGGTTTACTTTGCCTTGAGCCAACCTTCATTTGTTTCCCATACATGACTCTGATTGGCTCACTGAGGTCAGGCGGGTAACTGCTGGCGCCGCGGTGCGTGGTACACGGGAGGAGCCTGATGATGAACTGCTTACTGTAGTGGTGATTAGAAAATGTCCCAAATGGATCTGAAATTTGGTTTTGAAACATTTGAAGTACCATATTAAATGTGTTTTGATTTTTTTTTAAAAGCCTACGACTACAAATTGTAGACATTGTTGCTTATTTTGGTGAATATTTCTTAGATTAGCTCAGAAATTATGGTAGTGTGTCATATAACTTTGCAGTGCTCAAGGTAACATTTTTGACCATAAGATTAAAACCACCTGCCTTGTTTTTTTGCTAAGCAAGAAGCTGAGACATCTTTTAGCAAAACCACTTTAAACTATCAGAATAAATTAAATGAAACCAAACGTTTTACCGCAGCTGTTCAAAGAAAACACGGATCCTTTTGTTTCCAAAACATCTCCCGTCAGCAGTTCTGACTTCAGCATGTGCAGAAGTGCTTTCTTCTTCACACCTGTTCAGGCAACCCAACAGCACCATGTTGTGCTACCTAAAGTTGAAAAGGGGACCTTTGCTGAAAGGTGTTTTCTCTCTTTGTGTCTCAGGTGTGGGCACTGGGCGATTGCCAGACTGGGTGAAGGGAGAACTCGACGCAGCAAAAACCTCCACCTGGTGCTGCAGAGTAGGACCGCTGTGCAGGTGAGGACTCGCTTCACGATGTGAATTTCATGGTTTGTGTTGCATGTTCCTCTCAGTGAGCTAACTCTAGCTGTCGGCTATAAAAACTGTTCATGCACAGAGTCGCTGTCATTCATGGATAAACCTACAGCACAGAATACAGAGGCGTAGATAAAGCCTGGTGTTGTGCTGCCTGGGAGATGTTTGGGTAGAATATGTTTCTGGATTGAGTAAATCTGATTAAAACACTTTATCCCTTCTGCTCTGAAGCTAAATGGCCTGTATTTGTATAGCGCCTTCTTAGGATTCTACAGCCCCCCCCCCCCCCCCCAAGGAGCTTCACAACACAATCAGTCACTCACCCATTCACACACTGGTGATGATGAGCTACTATGTGTTGGGGTTATTAGGAGCGAACAATTAGTAAGCTTTAACTTACTTTTGGATTCTTCAATAAATTCTGTAAATATGAGAATATTTACTGATTTATTAATTAATTAAGATATTCTTAGACATCTCCGGGGCACCACCCCGTTCTACCGGGGAAAAATTGAATCCAAAACTCTTATCAGTCTTTCTTGAAGTTCGTAGAATCCAGGGAGCAGAGACTTCTCTTCGACACAACAAAGCTACTGGAGACGAAAATCTGAATTTTATAACATTTAATTAAACAATTTGTCAAATGAATAAACAATGAAATAAATGAATAATAACCATGTGATATAATAAAAGGAGTGGTGTGTGTGTGCGTGTGTATGGATTCAAAATGGAGTCTTGAATACAAGATGGCTGACCCCTTTGTCTGGCTAAAGTGTGGGTGGCAACTTGCACTTTAACTTCCAAAGCAATTAGAATCAGAAGTAACTTAACCTTAAATCACTCAAAACATTTCAAAGGATAATGAAGCTTCACCAAAGATTAATCACGAATTAATATCTTTTAGTTTAACCACTTGGCCATAGTAGAAAACATTTAAAGATACCAAACAATGATCAATAAGCAGTTTATTCTTTCAAAATGACCCGACGGACGTATTTGGGAACGAAAGAGGAAAACACGAAGCTACTTTTAAGCAATAGCGCGGTTTTATTGCTTATTCTGGACTATAGAGGAAACGGAAGAAGGAAATTAGGAGAGAGAGAGAGATGAATTGAGTTTCTGATCACCAGAACAGTGAAGCGTCCCTCACTGTTTGATTTGACGGTTCTCCGTGTTTCTCCGCAGTTTTCGGCGTCGTCCGTCGGTTTGATGGCTTTCTCCGCTGTTTTGGCGTTCTCCGTGAGTTTGACGGAGTTGCGGATTTCCCCAACCCGGTTCTGTGGTCTCCCTTCAGCAGCTAGCGCAGCGAGTGGTTAGACAGACCTGATGGGCTTGCAGTTTAGTTTTCCAGCGGTTCCGGGAGCTCTACTGGAGCATTTAGACTTCCCGCGTGCTCAAGTTAGTCGGAGCGTGCAACGAGCGTGTCCTTACCGGCCAGTCATCCTGGGCAAAAGAACGAAGTTCCTTTGCCTTTGTCGATGATTTATAGCCTGAGTTCGCGGGAAAAGCTCCATGGCCTCCCGCACATGCGCAGAACGTGTTTCTGGTATTAGGCGGTGACATCATCCCAATGCTTCCGTGTGCAAAGCATCATGGGAAATGAAGTTTCTTGGCGCTGATGTGATTATTTGCTTTTCGGAGCAATTTAGCAGTCTTTTGGAGAAAATTACTGCAGCAATAATTTCCTCATGAGGTCAGACCCTCAACATATGTAGCCACAGCACTGACAGAGGGGAGGTCTGTCAAACACTGGCACCACCGGTCCCTCCAACCACCACCACCCGGTAAGGTGGGTTAAGTGTCTTGCCCAAGGACACAACAGCAGCATTCTCTGAAACCAGGATCGAACCTGCAACCTTCCGATTACTGGACAACCCGCTCTTACCTTCTGAGCTCCTGCTGTCCCAGTAGAACCATTTTTCTGTCGTAATGACCTTGGCCTGAGTGGTCACACGAGACAGAGCTGCTTAAGATGAGAGCGCTAGAAAGTTGGAGGACAACATTTATCCTGAAATGAAGTTGCTGCTATAAATCAGGATGGAAACGAGACATAAATCATTCCCGACTGAAGGCGGTTCCTCTTCCCACTAGGTTCCTGCAGCCGTCGGCAGGGTGGAGCTTCCTGACCCATGGAGAATTACTTCCAGGCCGAGGCCTTCAACCTGGACAAGGTGCTGGATGAGTTTGAGCAAAACGAAGGTGAGCACTGATGCCTGTGGGCTTTTGTAACTCAGTAATTGGTGCAAGATCTATTATCCTTTTTTGGTCACATCAAGAGAGGGTAACAATGAAGGGTTTTACAGTGCAGCTGGTCTGTGTGTGACTCACATTAACAGTTAACATTCACACCTATTACTGACTCGCCTCTCCCCCTGAAGACAAAAACGCTCAAGTTTCACCTTCAGATGTAAACAACTTCCCACACCTGTGAAAAACATGAACTCTTAATTATTCACATTCAGCCTCTGAAGGAGGAAATGCTACAGAAACTGAGTCATAGCCGCTGCAGGTTAGGACACCTTACCTGTGCAACAGTTGTCTAGCATAGTTACCCATAATTCTCTGTTTCCTTTCTAGCCAAATAAATATGTGAGGCTGATGAATTTTGGGGTTTTCCCCTTTTTTTTTTAAAGTACATGTATAATATTCTGATCCATTTCTTTTAGGGTTTGGTGGCGTTGTTCTAAAAACGAAAAGTGACCTGATGGGAACAGACTCAAGGGCGTGGCCATGTGGGTCTGTTTTATTAATCGTCAGCTCACCTCTCGGGTAGATTAGAGCCTTTTTTAAAATGACTATGTGTATTTTCCTTGGCGATAGGAGGCAGTACTTACGTAAATTATTACAAGCAAGCATTACTTTTTGAAGTAAGACCTTACCAGGATGCCATTAGGGTCAAAAATCCCTGGGAGCACAGCCTCCAGCAAATTAACAAGAACATCAGACTTCTTTTTATCGGTGGCAAACAGTGTACAACGTTTGTTAATGAGGACATTTTTGTAATCATTTGTTACAAATCAGTAAATGTGTTTTGTCCTCGCAGGCTTCCATAGAAGGAAACATGGCATCGCCCAGAGACTTAGACCCGCTCCATGTATTTTAGACCAGATTTTTATGGTTATGAAACCACCAATTTTTCTCACACATTTCAATGGATATTTCCAGAGATCAATAATAAAAAAAACTACACTGTCACTTTAAAAGTTGTTTTTATGATTTATTAATAGTAACAGCAAAGTAAACACATCTGTGGATGCTGCAGAGCTGGCTCACCTGTCAGTGAGGAAAAACTGCGCTCTCTCTCTCTTTCTCTCGCTCTCTCTCTCTCTCTCTCTCTCTCACACACACAGAGTTAATCTACCAAACTGAATCTCAAGTTGAGGACACAAATAATCACTGTGTGTGTGTGTTAGGGTGGGTAACTGTGTGTGTGTGTGTTCTTTTACTTACTACATACTGAGGGCCATTTTCAGTATTTTCCCTACAAAGTGAGGACATTTTTGTGGTCCTCACTTTTTTCAAAGCTTACCAGTTGGTTTTAGAGGTTAGGGTTAGGAATAGGTCAGCATTGGTTATGGTTAGGGTTAGGGTTAGGCCTAATACAGTCACAAAAATGAATGGGTGGCTATGGATGGTCCTCACTATGATAGAAAGACAGACGTGTGTGTGTGTGTGTGGAAACATTTCCTACGCCGGCTTAAACAACCTCCCAGCACGTTCTGCAGCGTTTTCTGTGTCTACTTGTCTCTGATTCCTCTCCAGGTCTCGTGAGCCATTTGACCTATTTTCTTTATACTTCCAGGTTCATTGACCCACTAATTTTACGCCAACCTCGTTTCTGCATTCCTCCCCGGCTTTGTTCGTGTCGTTTTTAGCTCCGTGATTGTCTGTCTTGGTGTTTGATCTCATTATCTGGTCCCGGAGGTCGTTAACACAAGAAATCGGCTGAATACTTTGTAATTAAGATAAATATTACTTGCTCGTCTGATAGTTGGATGTATTTCACGAGGTGAAACCTTTCTGGTAGTTCATGCTGTTTTCTTGTGTTTTTCCAGATGAGACGGACACGTCGATTCTCTCGGATGCCAAATGGACTCAGATCCTGGCCCCGCCGGCTCACATGCTCTCTTTGAACCCCGCTTTGGCCCACTCAGACCTCAGCCCCCGGGAGAGTCCCCTTCCCTTTAAGACCCTCTCTGACTCTTCACCTAGCGCCTCTCTGGGAGATGATTCTAAAAGGCAGCCGGGGCCCGAACCTCCATCCTGGGTGGAGGAGAGGCCAGCAGACATCCACAGCCCCCCTCTCCCTCAGCCCAACATCGGTAAGCTGGTGGGCACAGACGACCTCTCTCCGCCCCCCGCTACGACCTGTAGTGGCGTGGAGAACGGCTGCCCAGGCAGTCTGCAGCTCGATGAGCTCAGTAAGGAGAGAGGTTCTCCTGCAGACGTTCAGCCTGGTGCCTCCGACCAGGCGGAGGATCTCGGAGAGGTGCCTGCCTCAGCAGGAGGTGGAGGCTCGCACTTCACATTTGACATGGGAACGCCACAAGAGCACATCCCTTCTGACAATATTCATCCAGATGTGTGTCCCGCACTGCAAAATGGGGAATGTGTTAAAGGTGAGAGCAGTGAAGCTGTTTCACAGGATTTTATCCAGGAAAGACAAACTGTACTCCTAAAAGAGGAGAAGGAAGAAGGTGTGAATGGACAGGTTGCTCAGCCTGGTGGTGAGGTGGAGGAGAATGGGGTTTCTCCTCCTGGGAGGTTGGGTGGGGAGGTGAACCTGCAGGAAGACCAGTATCTCACAACAAGCTGCCTTCCTAATGGTCGGGAATGGGAGAACGGGAGCAGCTGGAAAACTAGGGAATCAGAGGAGGATAACTTTTCCTCCTCTCCTGCTCCCTCCAAAGAGGACTCTGTAACAGAGGAGAAAGAAATGGAGGAGAGCAAACAGGAGACGAGTGATGGAGGCGCAGTGGGGTCAGGTAGCATTGAACCAAAACTCAGCAACAACCGGCTGCAGCCTGTAAGCGTTCCCTATGGAGGGGCACGACCCAAACAGCCAGTCAACCTCAAACTCCAGATCCCCCAGCTGCTGTCGGGCCAAGCCCAGAACCAGCTTGGCCCGTCTGCAGCCAGCAAGAACAAGAACCTGGAGAACCACTGTCAGAGGGGTACACCGACAGAACCATCACCGAGCAGGACGGGTCCGAGTTCAGTCGGCATAAACGGGGACGCTGGTGTCCCCTCTCCATCACTAATGTCCTCGGAGAGCCCAGACAACGACGTCCAGGCCGGACAGCAGGGGGCGCTCTGCAGGAAGGACTCTGGCTCGCTGGGAGAGGTGGCTCCCTTGTGGGTGCCGGACTCCCAGGCCCCGGTCTGCATGAAATGTGACGTCAAGTTCACCTTCACCAAGAGGAGACATCACTGCAGGGCCTGTGGGAAGGTCAGTGCTGCGCTGCTCTACCGGGGATTATAGCCGCGTGCGTTTCATGCACACGTTCTGCTGTTGTTTTTGTTGTGCAGCAAAAATAAAGCCTCAAATGATAATGAAGGTCAAAGGTCATTTGTAGAACATGTAGTGAAACAGCTGCCAAATTAGGATTAACAGGTGCTTCCTAAAAGCAGGGCTCTGATTGGTGGGTTTCTCAGTGGGTGGGCAGGTAGCTTTATGGCCTCCCTCGTGCGCGGTCTTCACAAAGAAGATGTAAAGGGAAGATGTGTTCACTGACACGACACTGGAAAACCGTCAGAGCGCTACTTAATTTCCCACGGTGGTAAACAAACGCTCTCACGCTGCCAGTCCAGCTGGGAGGAGCTGGTGCTGCAGTTAATGGTAGCACCTGCACCGGGGCTGCAAACAGCAGACGCAGCAGGATGCTGAGAGGAAGGTCCGTGCAGTAGATTGGCGTCTGAAATTAAAAGGATCGTTCATTGTGATTCGAATTATTTACCAAATGCGTGTTTGTGGAAAACCATTCCAGTAAAAGCCCGCAGCTGTCTAAAGCTTTAGTGCAGTTAAAAGTGAAACATGCTACATTCATTGGATTCTGTGTTATTTTGAAGGTGTTCTGTGCAGCCTGCTGTAGTGTGAAGTGTAAGCTGGAGTACATGGACAGGAAGGAGGCTCGCGTTTGTGTCACTTGTCACTCCGCCCTGACGACTGGTGAGCATCGTTCAGCAGGAGGTGAAACCTTTAAGACTTTGCATTTGCTTGTTGATGTTTTGTTTTGGTGCCGTCAGCTCAATCAGGAGAGACTCCAGCTCCTGCAAGCAATCAGAGTCCAAACCCCAACAACCCAGCGGAGTACTGCTCCACCATCCCTCCTCTGCAGCAGGCTCAGGCCTCCGGGGTGCTCAGCTCTCCCCCTCCCACCGTCATGGTGCCTGTAGGAGTCCTGAAGCAGCCCGGGAACGAGGGTAGGAACTGTAACACGATTAGCAAACCCTCTCAAAGCTTCATTTGTTTGTTTCTTCATCGTGTTTGTTGTCATTTAGGCTCCCTCTCCCGAGACCAGAGGAGGGTGTGGTTCGCTGATGGGGTTCTTCCCAATGGGGACGCAGCAAAGTCCTCCAAACTCCCCGCCTCCAGCTCAGCCACGTCCCAGCCACGAGAAGTCTCCACTTATTCTAATAAATCCTCCACATCCGAGTCTTCAGAGGTGAGTTTGGCACCAACACCACAGGGTAACGGAGGTACAGATGGATGAGCGTAGTCACGAGGAGCTCTGTCTGTAGGGTTCCTGGTGCTTCACCAGCTGCGTTATTGTCTGAGTTTATAAACAAGTTCAAAAGAAACATTAGGTAAGACTGGAGAGCTTAAAGCTGAAATGTGCTGCTGGGTCACCGATAGTGAAGCAGAGGGTGGTGACTGAAGGTCAGCTGTCTGGGTGATTCATGATCTGGTGAAAAGGGTCAGTCGTTCACAAGAGTTAGTCTCGGTAATAAGGACTGCAGTCATTTTAGTCTTTTATTAGTCGCACGGCGTCTACCTCAATCTGTCAAAAACCCAGAGAAGTTCTGGTTAGGACGGGTGACGAGTCATCTGAAGCCTGTTTGTTCTGGAGACGTTTAGCATCTCTACAGCCTTGAGCGACACCTACTGACTCTAGTTCTGTTCAGGCATTAAATTAAAACTGTTTTCCCTCCTCCCTCTCCACGCTTCAGGCAGCGCATCCCTCCGCTGCCCCGGTGGGCAGTCCCGTGGGCAGCTCTCTCAGTTTGATCCCGGAGGACGGGCTCCCTCCCATCCTCATCTCCACCGGAGTCAAAGGAGGTACGGGAGGCCACATCACAGGTGCTTGCTCTCATCCTCACCATTCTGCTGCGTCCTCATTGCTGCTGTGTTTGTGTCGGTTTAGTGTGCGCTTCACCGGCTTTGTGTCACCGCTCGTGTGTTGACCACTCATTGCCAACAGAGGGGGAGGCGTTGTGCACAAGGGAATGTTTAAATGACTGGGAAGGTTTCTGGTTTCTTATCTCGATGCTCGTTCTCTTCACCTCGAACCGTTGCCATCTTCAACGTTTCGTTTTCTCTCCCACGTCTTTCTCTCATCCGCCGTTTTTCCTAATTACCCAACTTGACCCTGACTCCTCCTTCTGCCTGCTTCTTCTTCTGTGAATCTCCGAACAACCTGCAGATTACACGGTGGAGGAGAGGCCGTCAGAGATCGTCCTCATGCAGCAGCTGGAGGAAGGAGGCCTGGACCCCCTGGTGTTTGTCCTCAACGCGAACTTGCTGGCCATGGTCAAGCTCGTCAACTGTGAGTCACGCTTGCACCACCCAAAACGGCGATGAGTCAGCAGCTCTCGTAAACACACCTGTCTGGAAAACAACAGCTTTTTTAAAATAACTCCATTATTTTTCCAATAACGTGTCTTACTTTAAGACGGCCCATTAATTGGAAGAATTGTTCCACCTCTGATATCCGTTTGGTGTCAGATGTTGTTTAAACCTCGTTTCCAGGCCGACGCTGGAAACAAAAAGTCCTTCTGTCCAGGCTGGTTTTGAATCCTCTGAACCTACAGATGTAAACAGGAAGTGCTGGTACGTGACGACTAAAGGAATGCACGCTGTCGGCCAGGCGGAGGTGGTCATCCTGCTCCAGTGTCTGCCTGACGAGAAGACCGTCCCAAAAGACATCTTCACCCATTTTGTGCAGCTCTACCAGGAGGCCCTCAGTGGTAAGAGCACCACCAGCAGCTCCACACGTCTGACTACTGTGTTTATTTTCCTCCATATGCTGCAACGCAAAACCCACAAACACGGTCTGACTTTGATGGCTTGCTCCCCTCAGGCTGCTTCCTGTTTCATAATCGCACCACCGCAGTGTCGGCCCGCTGGAAGGGAGTCGTATTGTGTGTGTGTTGATCCTGATTAAGTCCGTCAGTCAGGGTTTTAGGGAGAAGTGCTGCTTTAGCGAGTCCCAGCTTTTATTTGTCATTAGGGTCTGAAGCCAACGATCCCTCTCACACATGAAGGATGTTTTCAGAGCATCCCCTCCTGCGTCACTGACCTCTTTCCTGTCTTCCACTAGGAAACGTGCTGAGCCACCTGAGTCATTCGTTCTTCACACAGAGCTTCCTGGGTAGCAAGGATCACGGCGGCTTCCTCTACATCAGCCCGTCCTTCCAGTCGCTGCAGGACCTGCTGCTGCCCAATCCCCCCTACCTCTTTGGCATCCTCATCCAGAAGTGGGAGACGCCCTGGGCTAAGGTCTTCCCCATCCGCCTCATGCTGCGGCTGGGAGCAGAGTACCGATGTGAGTGTGGATCAATACCGAAGAATCAATAATGACTCGCGTGTCTTCCAAAAGAGTCACCGAAACATAACGGGACAGCAAATCCACCTGAGAGTTGGGTGATCCCACATCATTCCCATCTTGATGAATCAGGAAAAGCAGTTTTATGACAGCAGAATCCTCTTCTCCCAGTCGGACCTGCCAGCTGTCTTAAGCCTCTTCCCTGCATCCAGCAGCTACGGGAGGAATGAGCGCTTCCATCACCACAGAAACACGGCTGAACTCTGACGGGTGGATTTTAACTGGAGATTGAGGCCAAGATGACTTTTTATAGCTAATGAGTTTGTAGTGTGATGTTTTTCTTTTCCTCCTGCTGCTGACTGAGATGACGGCTAAAAATAGTCCTTTAAGAAGCTTTAGCTGTTGAAGGAAAGAATCGGCCACATTTCAGTTCCTCAGTTCATTTCTATCCAAATGAGTCTTTAATCATTCACAAAAGCAACGAGAAATATGAAATGTGATGGGTGTGTTTGGAACAGCGGGGTAGGTGGAGCCGCTGAATGTTCTGCTTGTTTTGCAGTTTATCCGTGTCCACTGTTCAGCGTTCGCTTCAGAAAACCGTTGTTTGGAGAAACCGGCCACACCATCATGAACCTCCTGGCAGTAAGTGCTCCTTTCTTGTTTGGTTCAAGGTAAAAAAGAACATTGAACAAGTGTCACAGGTTTTGATTATTGTAAATGATTCCAGTAGGTTGAAAGTGTCTTTGTTCCAGGACTTCCGTAACTACCAGTACACTCTCCCGGTAGTCAAAGGTCTGGTTATCGACATGGAGGTGAGGAAGACGAGCATCAAGATCCCCAGCAACCACTACAACGAGGTAATCAGAGCCAAGCCATCAGCTGAAGATGAGCCGGATCTCCGAGGGAAAACGTTGAGAAATTTTTTTTTAAAATGCATCAAAGATGTAAAACATTTGTTTGCACAATAGGAAGTCGAACAAGCTGCAGGAAAATGTGAATTTTGAACATTTTAACACAGAAATTAAAGTTTCATTAATTACAGACACGGATCACTTTTCTTTTGACCGATTAAGTTGTTCACATTATTTATTTGTTTAAAAAGTAGAAACGCATCTAATGGAACACAAAACGTTCCCAGTCACGATGCTCGACACGTTACCACGATTACCAAACGGTCTGGTATTTCTCCGAGGCTCATATGTCGTTTCACTTACAGCTTTGTGTTGAAATGGTTTGAATTTTTTCTGAAATTACATTTTACACCAAAAACGAACAGAGTTCTCAGCTCTGAGGAGCCTCCTGCATCGGTACGGTGAGAATAGCTGGATTTTTATCTGAAGTGTCTTTAATGTAATCATCAAAAATCATCTGCTGGAAATGATTAAACACCAGTTAGCTGAGTGAGTGAACGTATGAAACGCACACTGCTGCAGAGGAGTATTCAGCCCACTTGTGATAACGGTTCAGCCTCTGGGGTGTGTGCGAGCGTCAGAGCAGGCTTTGGCTGCTGATGCACTGACAGATGGGAAACCAGCGATGTGAAGTGGGAGTCATCGCCCAGCAGCTTGCGGGCGAACGATTAGCGCAGCAAGTGGTTAAAGCGCTCCAGATTTTCAGTTTTATTTCTGATCAGAGATGCAGGTGGAACCTCCAGTCAGAACCGTCCCATTTGAACCGGGTTCTGCGGTATGTTTGTCCTTGCAGCTGATGAAGGCCATGAACAAGTCCAACGAGCATGTGCTGGCCATGGGGGCATGTTTCAACGACAAGGCCGACTCCCATTTAGTTTGTGTTCAGAACGACGATGGGAACTACCAGACGCAGGCCATCAGCATCCATCACCAGCCACGTAAAGGTGGCTTCTCTCCTCAGTACTCTTGTCTGTTTGACTGAAAACAAAAAACCCCGCTGTGAATCTTGGCTTCACTTGTTTATTTTAATCTGTTCTCCTCCAGTTACTGGAGCCTGCTTCTTTGTGTTCAGTGGAGCTCTAAAAGCCTCGTCGGGATTCTTAGCCAAGACCAGCATCGTAGAAGGTGAGACCTGTAGAAACACCATAAATACTTCCCCTGTGAGAAGTGCTGCAAAACTTTAACGGGTCTCCTTTTTAGATGGTGTGATGATCCAGATCACAGCGGAGACGATGGACTCTCTACGGCAAGCCCTGAGGGACATGAAGGACTTCACCATCACTTGTGGTAAAGCTGACCAGGAGGAGAGCCAGGAGCAGGTCCAAGTGGTCTGGACAGAAGACGACCACAACTTCAACAAGGGGTGAGACTGAGAGACGAGGGAGGAGACCCTTTTGTGTCCCCGCTGGTGTTTTAATGTAACGTCTTCATGGGAACCAGAACCTCTGCAGAACGATGGGACCGAGGTCCAGATCAGCTAAAGTAAATGTAGCTTCTGTTCTCGGAAGAGTTCCACTTCCTGTTGAGTCTTGAAGCAGCCTGTGTGCCATCGCTCTGTCAGAGCTGCTGATGGCGCTGGTATTTGTGTCGCCCAGAGTTTTGACAGGAAACTCCTCTTCATCTTTTCTTCTGCCGTTAGTTTGTGTGTAACATAAATCTGTCTTCATCTCAGCGTCATCAGCCCCATTGATGGGAAATCGATGGAGTCCATCAGTAGCGTAAAGATCTTCCACGGCTCAGAGTTCAAAGCAAACGGCAAAGTCATCCGCTGGACTGAGGTAACACACACACACACACGCACGCACGCGCGCGCGCGCACACACACACGCACGCACACACACAGCTCTGTAAACTAAGGTTTATGAAGGAAATCAGGCCACTGCTCTCACAGAAGAAGAAAGTATCATTTCTATAGCGCCTCTCAAGATAAAAATCATGAGGCGCTTCACAAAAAACAAAAAATGTAAAAATATTTTAAAAAATTAGAAAATGGTTAAAAATATATTTAAAATGAGCAAAAAATAGACAATTGTGGTTAAAAAAATGTTAAGAAAGAGAGAGAGTGAATAGGAAAGAGGGAAATCAGTGGATCCTGAGGAAGGTGGAATAGGTGGGGAGAGCAGAATAGAGAGAGAGTGGTGAAGAAGGTCATACAAAAGCCAACTTGAACTAGTGAGTCTTCAGCTGCTTTTTGAAGGAGTTCACTGAGTCCACTGATCTCAGGCTCAGGGGGAGAGAGGTCCAGAGTCTGGGGACCACAGCAGCAAATGATCTGTCACCTTTGGTCTTTAGCCTGGTGCTGCACAACCAGTAGGCTTTGGTCACTGGACCTCAGGGACCTGCTGGGGGTGTAGGGACTAAGAAGATCACCAATTTAAGATGGTGCTTGTCCATGTAAGGCCCTATAGACCAGAACCAGGATCTTGAAATGAACTCTGAAGTTGACTGGCAGCCAGTGAAGCTGGAGGAGAAGCGGGGTGATGTGGGTGTGTTTGGAGGACTTGGTCAGAAGCCGAGCACAGGCATTCTGAACCACCTGTAGACGGTTCAGGGAGGTTCTGTTCAGACAAGAGAAAAGAGAGTTACAGTAGTCTAAGCGTGAGGAGATGAAGGTGTGGAGAACTGTCTCAAGTTCAGAGCGGGACAGAATGGGACTCAGCTTAGCAATATTCCTAAGATGGAAGAAGGAAGAGCGAACAAGAGAACTGACATGAGAATCCAGGGTGAGAGCTGGGTCAAAGGTCACACCAAGATTCCTGACGGAAGGTTTGGTGTGAGAAGCAAGCTGACCAAGAGAGTCTCTGACTTTGGGAACCAGCTTGTCTGGGGCACAGATGAGGATCTGAGTCTTATCTTCATTCAGCTGAAGAAAGCTCCCAGCCATCCAGGTTTTGATAGAGTCTAAGCAGGTGTGTAACAGCTGCAGCTTAGACATCTCATGGGGCTTAAAGGAGATGTACAGGACCAAACCACCCTCCATCCCAGGAGGCTGTGGGTATACTAGAGGCTAAACTCTGACGTTGCTCATCTGCAGAAATGTGCTGCCTCCTGTAAAGATTAAAAAGCAAATCAATCTTTTCACAGGTTGTCCGTTACTCAAATGCGTCAAATGTCATGATTGCCTTCAGGTATTTTTCCTCCAAAGTGAAGACCAGCCCAACAGCCTGAGCGACCCGGCCGACCACAGCCGGCTGGCGGAGAACGTGGCCCGAGCGTTCTGCATGGCGCTGTGTCCACACCTGAAGCTGCTGAAGGAGGACGGCATGGCCAAACTGGGCCTCAGGGTAACGCTGGATTCTGACCAGGTAGGACAGATCCAGAGACAAGTTACTATGGAGTCCCTGTCGGATGACTTCTCTCTGTTCACCTGTTCAGGTGGGTTACCTGGCAGGAAGTAACGGCCAGCCTCTCCTGCCTCAGTACCTGAGCGACCTGGACAGCGCTCTGATCCCAGTCATCCACAGCGGAGCCTGTCAGCTGAGCGAAGGCCCGGTAGTCATGGAGCTGGTCTTCTACATCCTGGAAATCATCTCCTAGAGAACCCCCCCCCCCCATCCCCCCCATGTCATCTCCCCTCAACCTTCCTCACCTCAGCAGAACCACACAACTGTGGCGTTTCTTCAGTCAAAGCTATGCATCCACCCACCATCTGCTTTGACCCAGAGGCGTTTTGGTGTCTGAGGAAGTGTGAGTGGGTGGGCGGAGCCTCACAGCCACTGCCTAAATAACACCACATGTGGCTATTTGGACAGACCTGCATGCTCCTCAGCTTCCTCCCAAAGTCACAGTCAGCTGGAGGCGCTGAAGCAAAGAACTGTGGGTAAAACTTGCCTCTGTAGCACGAGCACCGTTGCAGATCCATCGCTGGAAACTTTGAGGGGGAGAAACCTACAGATCGCTGGAGGTGGAAGAAGGTGCCTGTGTGGTGATTTTTGTTGTTTTTTTGCACCGTGGTGCTCAGTGCCTACAGCAAAGAATCATCAGGGGGGTCACTTGTCAAGCTTTACTCTTCAGTCACCAAACGCTTTCCGTCATGGCTGCAGACTTGTGTATATTTTTATAAGCAGAGCAGTTCCTACATGTTACACGTGTAGCTTCCAGATCTGTTACAGAAAAGTGACGTCAGAGTCCGATGTCCTGTTGAACTAGATTACTGACACAAAACCCGTTTATTCTGCAGATAATTAAAACAAACAAGTTCCAGCTTAAATCTGTACATAAAGCTGGAAACTGAAAGAGAAAAGTTAAAATCTCATCAGTCATCTTTAAATCGCTCCATTTCTCCATCTCATCTCATCTTGGTTAATCAAAGATATATATATATATATATATATATATATATATATATATATATATATATATATATATATATAGAGCTATATATATATAGCTATATATATAGCTATATAAAGAGTAATTGCAGAAGTAGTGCACTGGATTCTAAGCCATTTACTGGAGCTGATGTGGCGCCGCTGCGTCCTGGAAGGGAATCGTTTCAGCAGCAGAAATAAGATTCTGACTGACCCGAAGCTGAATGTATCTCATCTCCCATTCTTCTGCATCCTTCCAAAGCCCTGAAAACCAGACCCTGGAGCGCTCTGGAGATGCTTTCAGAGCCTCAACAGTTGTCGTGCAGCTATGAACAGATCAGATTTCACCGGCGTTTCCTCTGTCGGCAACTCGGACCTGGAGGTGAAATCTACGAATGTATTCTTGTTTCAGTTCCAGTCTGGAAAAAAACAAGTACTTTTTGTTCATGTTAGATGAGTCACCATGAACCAAGACACCTGTACAGTAGTCATCCCGCGTTACGCCGACATTCCACCCAGTCCTGAAATCATCGACACAATTTAGTGGAGAAAAAGTCAAAAGTTAGACAATCAGTTAAAAATCTGCAGAAGAGCCGGCAGCTTGATTAGATCTGCAACATTATTTTTTATCTTTGTGGGTTTTAGGAGCTCCTGTAATAAACAGGAACACAAAAAGCTAATTTTGGGTCATTTACTGCGATGTCACCATCCCTTCAGTGTGTGACATCCTGATGGAATTCAAACTTTAAAAAACACAAACTAGATGCGACTGTTTGTTTTTCAGATCCCTTTTTACTGTGTCTGTTACATTGTATGTCTGCATTACCACATGTGTGCAATATGTCCCAAATCCCCAAAAAAAGGTGCAATTTGTTAAAGATAAAAGTAGCATTTGCTCTTGTATTTGGCTGTAAAAACGCTTTTTTTCTCCAGAACTTTAAACACTGCATGCAAACAGAAACCAGCTCAAAACCGGACGAGCTCCACTCAACTTTGCATTTTTAACAGTTTATCTAGTTTATTGATTTTTAAAAAATGCACTATCTTCTGTTTAATTGAATTCTTCTTTTTTTAATAAATAAATAGTTCAAACGTTTTGAAAAGCCAAATCAACTTGTACATTTTTTCTTCACCGGCATTGCGAAGATGAATTTTTAATCCAAAAAAAAAAAATTTGACCTGCAGCGGACAATAAAATTACAAGACAGAAGTCATTTTTTTTCTTTATTCCAAAAAGTGAAACCAAAATAGTAAATTTAAAAGTATTTAATGATAAATTTATTCAATTTCACATTTAAAAATCAGTTTGATTCTGTTAAACATTCTTGGAGGATTTCAGAAATTTATTTAGTAAACATTCATATAGAAAACACATAAGTGTTTTTATATATTTTGTACTGAAATGTTGTGACCAGACTCAGGAGCGTTGAGGTAAACAAACTCGAACCTTTAAACTGTTTCTGTAGTAAACTCCTTCTGGAGTCTCACGGTTTCTCCACCAACTCTGACCCGTTTCCAGTTTTACTAAAATAAAGTTGAGTCGATAGCATCTATCCTCATTTATCTGCATATATTAGACTTTTGGTGCTCCAGAGGAAATGAAAGGTGCTTCAGACTTTTCCCGTAAAACAACTGAAGGTGTGTTTATTAAGGTCCGGGTCACTAGTGGAGATGATGAAACCTCCCAGCAGCCTCTGATGCGTCTCCTACATATAAATACAACTTCCTCTGACATTGTAACGCGTTTGGCAACTGAAGGCGATTTCAAATATGCAGGATTTTACAGCAACTTTGATTACTTTGGTATTAGTGCATAGGTGCAGTTTTAGATAAATGCACTTTTTTTACATGAACTAAAGTTACATCAGGCAGCATGATTAGAGTAGCTTGATATCGCCATCCGCAAGAGGGCTGATGATGCTGTACCAGAGTTTCTCTCCCGATTTTAGGATCTTTCAGGCTCTCAAACCCGCTTAAAGAATTGTCACGCTCCCGCGGCAGCAGTCGCTGTCCTGTCACAGAACCAAACGCCTGCAGGAACAAGCTTCCGTGCTGCGCTAATGTGCAAAAAAGTTACGATTGGCAAAGGCCTCGTCCTCAGCAGATCCCAAACCTCCTTCCAAGTGTTTGAGTGCTTTTCATCTGCAAGACAAAGATGTCAGGAAGGAAGAGGTTAAAGGAACGAAACAAACAGGAAGAGCTCCTCTGCAGGGTTATTTTTTACAAAAACACCCAATTTACATACAAACATAATAAAAATGGAGTTCCACATTGCAAATAAGTCAAAATACCACTTAGGTGGTAACTAACTAATAATTACCTTTGTTTTGGTATTCCTTTTATTTTGAAACTTTTAAGCCAGACCCTGAAAAAGAAAACATGTTTATAACTTTTCTCTTTTAAAATTATGAACAGAGAAACTTGTGTTTTATGTGATGCTGTTCATCTTGACCTGGTGTCCCTCAGATAACCTGATTAAATAACGGTTAAATAAAATAAAACTGGGGGGGGGGGGGGGGGGGGTGTCCTCCAGCTCCCAGTTAGAGGTTACCTATGAAGAGTCGATGACCAACCAGCGCTCGGTGCTCTTCTGCATGTCCTGACCACACAGAGGCTCCCGTAGTCTCACCTTGACCTCAACACGACCACCTGTGTGCTTACGGCCGTCCATCACCTGGCAGAACAAATGCCTCCATATAACGAAAAGTTGCATAATTGCATCTTTATGTGTACTTTTTTTTATAAAACTAGATGAGGCTCACTTCTACGATCTCCCTGATTTCACTCTGTGACTCCAGCTTGTCCAGCTTTACGAGCGCCGTCCCGATTGGCTTGTCGCTTCGTAGGAAACCCCTGTGGGACGAAACATAACCGTCATTAGATCCGTATCAACGGGTCCAAACCAGGCAGACACATTTTTAGTATAATAACCAATGATGAGCTCGCTGCGTTTGCAGGACCTGCAGGAAAACCGACACCCACCCTTTGTGCAGCAGCTCCAGTTTGAGGCCTTTAGACGCCACGACTCGCCGGAAGCCGCGGTGGTTTCGGTTGATTGACAGCGTGAAGTTCTGGTTATATTCTGACAAAAACAACTGATACAGTATTAAATCTAGCATGGAAACATTTAACCTAAAGCACTGCTACATAATCATGTACTACCTGGTGAATTAGTGTTTTTGATGACACTTGTTTTGTGTTTCTGCGACTGCTCCTGATGGTAAAAACAGATTTTTAGTAACAAAAAAAAAGCTTCTTCCTAGTTTAAATTATCAACAGATCGAGGAACTTACTGCGCTGGGGTAGGGGAACTCAAACTTGATGTAAGCATCCAGATCGTTTGGTTGGATCCCTGAAGGACGGAAAAACAAGCTGAGCTTTAAGGAACAGATCCAGAACATTTAGAGGAGGTTCGTTCAAGACTACAACAAACACTCCAGGTCTGATTTACCGCTGGGAGCAGGAAGATTCATCCCTTTAACAATGATGATGACCAGATCAGTGCTGCTCAGCTCTGGGAAAATTCTAGAAACAATGAGATGGAAACCAGTAAGGAAGCAGAAAAGTTAGTCATCCGCTTTAAGCATAAAGAGTGGCAGATCTGCTGCAAACAGATGGAAAGTTTATTATTTAAGTTTGCTGGACGACCAGATGAATAAATTTCTTCCTAAAACTCTAAAAACTAAAGGCGCAAATTAGAAAAAAATTTAATTGATGATCAACAGTCAGATAAAAACACATTTTTTAAAGTTTTTAGGACTAAAATCAAAGAAAAATGTAAAAAAATAAACCAATTATCTTTAAAATTCAAATCAGACTAAATGTTTGGTTCTGAAGAAGAAAAATCTGATTTAGCATAAATAATGTATCGCGATTCAAAATGATTTAGCAATTCAGGATTTTAACCAAACAGATGTGTAAATGGTACCATTATTGTTGTTTAACACGAGTTCGAATTAGAATCGAAATGTAATATTTACATAAACTAATCAGGACTATTAGGTCCCACCTGACAGTGTGAAACGATCTCTCCTCAAAGTGATGCTTTGGAGGCAGCAGACCCCTGGACTGAGCCAACATCAGGACCTCCAGACTCTTCTTACAGCTTTCTGCCATTTTCTCAAACCTGAAACATCAGAGTGTCCCTGAATGTCACGGAAGCTAGCTTAAATACCAACAAACTGTGGGGGACAGCATGAGCTCACTTAGTGGTTTCAGCGACGTTCCCGAGGTGTGTGAACTGCTCGGAGTGAGTCAAACATTTCTGAAATGAAAACTGTCGGCTGTGAACAGACCAGATGTGCTAAGATTTAATTATAATAACTAAAGAAAGTATTTATTCACCTCGCGCTGCTTTGTCAGGATGTTAGCCAGCTGCGTGTAAACCTGCTCAGCTTTCTCTGAAAGCTGAACGTCACAGTGATGAACCAGGATGAAGTCGTCCTCTTCGTCACCAGGGGGCGACGGCAACTTAGAGCACAGTGCGGAAAAAGGGTTTATATTTTAACAACAGGCGGAATTACTAATAAATATGTAGGAAAAAGCAAAGAATCCGGCGTGAGCAGAGGGGTTACCGTGCCGATGTCCACGGGTTTGCCGTTGCGCGCCGCTTCGATCATGGGGTCCAAACCTTTGGCTGTGCGGAGGAAAACCTTTGCTTGTTCCATTTCCTTCTTTTGCTTCGCCTGCAGAGCTGCCTTCATGTACTGCTTCTTCCTGCTCTCCAGGAGCTCCAGCTGCTGAGCAGCTGGGGACAAATCCAAAGTAAAAAGTTATTTACCATCAGACAACAACTCAATGCTGATGAATAAAAACAAAAAGGTCACATGGTGTTGGTAAAGACACCGACCTGTTGGTGAGAGTCCCTCCTGCTCAGCTGTTCTGTCGGGTGAAGCTGAAGAAGATGGTTTTCCTTCTGCAGAGACGTCCAATGCGGGCTTCTTTGGCTTTTCTGGAACAGCAAGCTTTGGCTACAGGAGATTAAATATAAACAACCACCTCTTCATAAAGATATGCAGATGTAATACATACTGGGAGCTCACCTCTTCCTCCTTGTCTTCATCATCATCTTCCTCTCCTACTTCAGGGGAAGCAAGCTTATTGGCTGCTTCAAGAGCGGCGATAAATCCCTGCTCAGGTCCCGACGCCTTCACACCCGGGATCGGAGGGAAGCCTGGAATTGAAGACTCGTGGTGGTGATGGTACAGAGGAGGGGTGTACACAGACAAAAACTTGACTCACCTGGAGGAACAGGAAGCTCATCAAAGTTGACAGCTTTTCCTGCTTTGTGAGCACGGATGGCGCTCTGATATTGCTGCAGGAGAAATGAGAAAGATTAAACTGGTTAAGATGTTTTTGATGGTTCCTTTAATTTAACCGTCGTACCTTAGCGATGCGGTCGTGCATCCGGGCCTTACGGTCATCCCCGCTGGCTTTGGCCTGATTTGATGCCTCCGTGTATTTGACTCGCCGCTGCTCCAGAGCCTCCAGGACATCTTTGGGGGCCGAAGGGACCGATGGGGCCGCAGGAGCTGAAACAGATACAAGCATTAATCAGCTTAGGTAACAAAGTTGTTGAAAAATTTAATAAAACCTAAACAAATTTTGTTTCCTCTGAAGTGCACGAATGCCTTATCAGTAAAATCAGCCCTTTGGCTGCTGATCAAATAAGGGATGACAGTGAATGTTAATCTGACTACTACCAGGAGCTTCAGCAACCGGTTGGGTGACCTGTAAGCTTGGTCCAGAGGGAGCAGAGCTTCCTCCTGCACCTGAAACAACAAGACTAAATCAGCTCAGAAGCAACGAAGCAGGGATGAGAAACACTTCAGGATAAGGAGACTGTTCCTGACCTGGAAGAGGAGGAACTTCACTGAGATCCACTGCTTGTCCTTTCTCCAATGCATTAATCACGGCATCCAACTTCTGCACAAAGGTTTAAAAAACAAAAATAAAAAATGATGCTCTCTGTTAGCATCGGCATTATTGGAATTTTTCACTTATTCTTTGGAGGAAATCCTGCAGTAATGTGAAGCAGCAAGCTCAAACGAGGAATGGTGAAACAGTTTACTGCTGTTTCAGAGACGGTGGTTTTTAGTGTACCTTGCTGGTCAGGAAGTAAAGCATGGCCTGCTCCATTTCTCCTTGTTTCTTGGCTTTCAGCGCTGCCAGCTTGTATTCTTTCTGCCTCTCTAAAAGCATCGCTCTGGTCGCCTCCTTCTCTGTAGATTCAGCAGAATAAACGGACAGTCACCCCAGTGAAAGGCTTCATTCATCGCATAGGAAGGGCTAAGAGACGGCTCTCTCACTCAGACCATGAAGAAGTCATGTGCTTTCTGACGTCTGCTGTCACTTCTATGAACCACAGCTGCAGGAACTGGGAAGTTTAGAGGAAACTCACCGTCTGATGGCTCCTCAGGAGACGGGAGGGTGGCAGAGGAAGACTGCTCCTCTTCACTTGTGGGTGTGACGGCATTAGACACCGCAGGTGACAAGGTCGTGACCTCTGACCCCTCTAGTGGAGTGGAATCGGAGACTGTGGGCACTGGGGGAGCAGGTCGTACAGGAGCCAGAGGCTGGGGGGTTGAACTCGGGGCTCCGACAGAAACGGGCGGAGGAATCTCCGACTCGCTCACCGGTTTCCCTTTTTTTAAAGCAGCTAACATTGACTCCAGAGTCTGTTGAAGTAAAAGAATTTGTTGTAAATGAAGATGATTTATGATTATTGATACAGGAAATCAAAGCTTTTATTTTGAAAAATCACAACCAGAAAGTACATTTTATCTGGTAAATCTAGACATGATTCTTGTCAGGATGTAAAAACATTGAGGTCATTCAGATAAATCTGAAACATCAGCTGAGGTAAAGGTCGAGCCCGCTCATCACCCACCTTCAGACCTCGATCGTATCTCCTAGCTTTGGACGTCTCCCCTGCACTTTTGGCCTTTTGCAGAGCCGTTTTGTACATGAAGACTCGCTCCTCCAGGGTGTTCTGGAGGCTGCCGGGTGCTGCTGTGGAGACTTTTACTTCCTGTTGCTTCACACACAAACATCAGCGTGCATTTAGAGTAAACAAACAGAAAACACCTGCTAGTGAATAGCTAAGACCATATGTAAGCTTTTATACTCCACGTCTTTCCCCACATAAGAAGTCATTTAAAAGCATAAAGTGTTTCAGACTAAACCTGTAACAGGAAGTGGAATCATTTATCTCAGCTGAATCATGTCCACCACCAGTAAACTGTCATTATCGGGAAAATTAAGTAGTGGATTCTTTAATGAAGTGGGCAGGAAGGAGAAAAGACACTTTTGTCTCTTCAGTACCGGTAATAGAGAAAAGTGTTTGCTACTTGACACTCGTGCGTGTGTGTGTGTGTGTGTGTGTGTGTGTGTGTGTGTGTGTGTGTGTGTGTGTGTGTGTGTGTGTGTGTGTGTGTGTGTGTGTGTGTGTGTGTGTGTGTGTGTGTGTCAGAGCTGGCTGCTTATACCTGGGCTGCTGGAGACTCGAGGGTTTCAGCTAGAGAAGAATCAGCAGAAGCAGACAATGTGGAGGAAAAGGTTTCCACATCCTCAGCTTCCTCCTCACCCACCACTTCCTGGAGCTCTGCCTGGCGGGGTGAGAATGAAATAATTAATCAACAATCGACTCCGAGGGCTCGAAATTCAAATGGGACTCTGTTATGGAAATTTTATATTTCATTACTTTAGTCCTATTAACAGATCTATTAACTGAATGTCCTGAAAGCATTCACACACACACACACACACTCGCTCTCTCCCACACATGATCCATTCCCATTCATCTCTTATCTCTCTGCTTAAATAAACTGTGACCAGCTGTTCAGGGCATTTGCCCTGGGCACTTGCCACTAAATCATGACTTGATTGTATGTCTGCCTTATTGCTTCTTGTCCCTCTCTCTAGCTGCAGGAAATGGGTTTATTGGTAAACATATTGATAAAATCCATGACAGACTCAAATGACAACAATTTTCCACCCATTTTATGTTGACTTCTGTCACAGGAAATAACCTGCTCAGCTTTCCATCTGTGTTCCTCATTTACAGGATGCACCATTAGGCTTTAAACACTGGGCTACATGTTTGTATAGAAGGATTGTTTAAAGGTGTGGGACTCTGAAAAAAAACAAACATATTTTAATGATTACTTCTGATTATAATTAGGGTTGTCACGGTAACCGGTGTAGCGGTAAAACTGGTAAAAAAGTTGACAATAATAATAACCGTCTTGTTTTTTAAAAACTATATTATCTCGGTGGATTACCGTGGCTGCGGTGTAGGCGCGGTGACCCTTACCAGCCACCATACACCTGCTGAAGTTGCCGGCGGCACATGCGCACTTTGTTGTTTACAGCCAAAACTTTCTTGAAGCTAAAGCTGAAATAATGGCCAAAGGAGGAGACGGCAGCACTCAGGAGGACATTTTTTATCCCTCAAAGAAGACAAAGTGGGAAGTACGGGCATTTTTTGGATATTTGAAGAATGTCGAGGGACAGTTGATAGAAGACGGCTATCCTGTTTGCAGCACGTGCAGAAAAAGTGTCTGTGAAAGGCAGCAATGCTTCAAATCTCATGACACATCTGCGTGACCATCACCCACAACTCTACAGTCAAGGCAAGGCAAGCTAACGTTAGCGTTTTAGCTAAAATGCGTGATCCGAGGATTTGGGTTGAGGGAGAATGCAACAAGTCGCTATATAAAGCAGCTGCAGCGCCGCTACTAGGGATGCAACGATACCACTTTTTTTCCAAACCGATACGATACCGATACTTGGATCTGAGTACTCGTCGATACCGATTACCGATACAGATACTTCTACCACACAAAAAAATGCAATGAATTGGAATACAGGTTTTATTTTCTTCTGTTTTCAATAGGAAAAGACTGTGAGGTAGATAAAAAGTAATATAAGTGATCACAAAACTAAAATATTAGGTGAACAGAAATGACAAGTTACAGGGAAGTCACTTTCAAGCAACTGCATTTGTATCATTTACTGGTATCTGTTAACTTTTACCGATACTGATACTGGTATGAATTTAACAATGATTACTGCCTGATGACATTTTCCCACATCTGCAAAGGACACAAACCGAGGACAATATTTTCCTGATATAGGGTTTATTACTCAAGTAAGGGTAAAAAAGTATCTGATTAGAAGGCTACTTGAGTACTGAGTATCATTTGATCTAATATTTTTTAAATGATGACATCAAAAAGACATAAAATAAGAAGTTATGGGCAAATATTGGTATTTTAAAGACTAAAGGAGAAAAATGTAAACAAATAAACAACATAATTACAAAATATCACATTTTAGGCAAACTGTAGACAAAAACTGAGGACAATATTTTCCTGATATACAGGGTTTATTTAGTTGTCTGAAAATGTAACACGTTTGAAAAAAATACTGCGATAATAGCGAAAACCGTGATAATTTTGGTCACGATAACCGTGAGGTTAAGTTTTCACACCGTGACAACCCTACTTATAATCAGTCACTCTGACTTTTTCATGCAGGCTGAACACGAAAATAGTCTCCTGCACCTATCTGATAGAAAATAGACAGCGAAATTTTAGGATTAGAAAATCCTGACAGATCTACGTCACACTGTCACTTAACATTCATAAAATCACCCATCTTGACTCATGACGGGGGAAGGCTGTTGTTGGTTTAGCGTCTGGGAAATAACAGAGAATGTGTCTGCTAGTAGAAGCTAACTGTTAGCATTAGCCACTTCACAAATACAGCTGGGTGATACGACCTAAAACCAGTATTACGATATATTGAGGATTTCACCTCGATAACGATAAATGGACGATAACTACAGGCATGCGCAGAAACTAACTGTCCACTAGATGAGGCAGTCACATGTATCACATTTGGTTACATTGGGACAGCTTCTCAAAGGGACATGAACGCTGCCAACCTACACACATCTTTTCATTTTTTTTACTTTCAAATTTATTGACATGGGGAATTTTCACAATAAGACTCAGAAATTTCGATAACAATAAATTTTCTATTTATTGCCCAGCCTTACTCACAACACAGCAGAACTTCTCCAGGCCTGTGTTATTTGTGGAGATAAAATTGTAACCAGCTCAGTGGACTATAATTGGAAATAAGACTCCAAATCCTGCCATGTTGTTCCACTCTCTGCTGCAGCAGACCTCATCTTGCTGATCCAAGCGATTCTGGATTTTTTTTTTACCCGAGTACAGCTTGCAAAGCATTGATTCCTACCAGAGACCACTACAAACGTATTGATTGAGTTTCCCTTTAATGTATGAAGAACTCTGAAGTCAGATAACACCTAGAAGAAAATGTAAACGGGAATTTATTGAAAATAGTTCCAATAATAGATCTTTTTGTTAAGTTTTAAGCTAATATTGCTTTGGGAATCACCTTGTTACTGCTTAAGTACTACATTCTGTGAATTAAACAGTTATCTGTGGTGTTTTCATAGATTCATAAAAGAAATGGGAACAAACTTGTATATTTTAAGTTGTCTGCTAAGTGGGACTGAACACTGGTTCCTCTCTAGAGTCCATTTTGAATAAAAACCAAACACATTCTTGTAAAAACGGTCAGGTACTGAACTAACAATGAGAAAAAGCAGCTGAAGTCCAACAAAAAGCCATTAAAATATTTAGAAACTGAAGACAACGACGAGTCAACTCTTTTTCAGTTTGGTGAATACAACAAAGCAAGTCTTGCCCGAGTGCAAGGACACTCCTTAAACAAATCTACCTGTACCGACCCGGCTCATCGTATAACTATTCACTGTAAACCCGAATGATTGAGTAAGGAAACGAGGTTTTCGGACAGGAAGGCTTTCAGCGTAAAGACCTGGAGATCTAAACATGTATGATACCAACCAGCAGGTCTTCATCATCTTCAACGCTGCCATCATCCTCGTCTTCATCCACATCTCTCATACACTCGTCAGCCATTTTTGCAATGTCCTCCATAGGCAGTGGGTCTGCAACACAAACACGCCGTCATGCATCCATATGAGCAGGAGTCACTGGGTGGGTCTGAACAGCTTCTCTCTAAATTAAACCATTATTTGAAATTTGAAAATAATGACTTTTGGGTTAACTCTGGTTATCTGGCTGATTCTGGAATTTGTTTGCGTGACAGATGACAAAATAAAAACCAAAAGAAATCTGTAAGGAGGTGGATACTTTTTCAAAGTTTTTATATATATATATATATATATATACACACATACATATATATACATATACATATATATATATATACACACACACACACATACACACACAGATATATATATATATATATATATATATATATATATATATATATGTGTGTGTGTGTGTGTGTATATATATATATGTATATGAAGGTAATTAAAACCAGGTGATCTGAACCTCAAACACTGTTTATAGCAGCAGGTAACATTTTGTGCAAGGATTGTTTTACATTCACAACCACACAGCTGATGGACCAGAATTTCTCTACAAGATAAAAAATAACAATATTAATCAAAATCACTCATTATACAAATAGAATTACAAAACAATATACAACTACGCAGGGAAACAAATAAAAAAAGGCATATGAAACATCATAAAAATGAAAAACTAGTTCATGGAAATGCAAACTAACTAGACAGACTTGTACAATAAGATTGTAAGGTCTGTCAGTTGTGAAAAAGATCTGTACAGAGATCAGCAAAAAAGCTAGACGTGCACATTAGACGGATCACATTCCTGAAACGTAGTTTCCAGCTGGGAAAACTTCAAAAGTCAGTGACACACGATAGTTCAGTCGCTCAGTCAGTCAGAGAATTTGTGCACCTGACCAGATTCATACATGATCTGTATTACACAAGGATGCAGTAGAAAACACACACACCCAGAGGTTTGTCTAGTGGGCTGGTGGTTTTTGGATTGTGACAGGTCAGTTTGTTTACGCAAACATCAAACAAAAGGTTATTTAAATAAACAAAAGAAAAGCAGATCCTTCATTTTGGATGCTGCAAACTTTTAGTGTTGTCACCAGCTTAGTCAAATAAAACGTGATGTTTAATCTAGACTTACTTTTCCCTTTTGGTTTGCCTTTCCCACTTCCTGCAGCTTTACTTCCTGTGATAGCAACGAGCTCTGCCTCCAGGTCCTGCTCGTTTTCCCCTACTCCCATCATCATCACCTCGGGGTCCATGTCAACAAACATCTAGCACACAGAACCGGGGGTTAAAACGGGTCATCGTGATGAAAACACGGGATGTTGAAGTCTTGCCTTTACCAGCTTGGCAGCTGCAGCTCCCTGGCCTTTCGGCACCGGTGCTTTCTTCTTTTTACCAAACATGTTTTGTTTTTTCTTGTTTATTTACGCCTCTTACGACGCCGCCTACCCAGACTACACAGAAACAATAAACACGCGCTATAATAACTTGCTTCCCGTCTGCTGGCTGGTTGATCTAATTAAAATCATGTGAGCGGTTGTCAGGTGGGTCTCAACTGTCGCTGAGAGACGAGCAGCCAAAAACTGACGCGAATCACTGCTAGTGCTGCTAGCCCACCATGTTTATTTATTCCAACTCGAAAAGTTAATTAACAGAGAAGCAGCGGGTAGTTACCGTCTCCGACAGACTATTTTAAAGTTGATATCGTTGCGTGAAAGGTGCCCGCATGTTTACCTTCTGGCTCACCACTTCATGAGGTAGTTTTCAGAGGAAGAGTTTCGTTTCTGTGCTAGTTTCACGTCGCTTGTTGGGCCGCGCATGCGCATAGGGGACGAGCGTCCTAGGTCACCTAACGTAAAGACGATGCCCTGAGTTGTGACTGTCAGGTAGACGAGGCTACCGGTGTAAAACTAAACCGCACAAAAAAGTAACACAAACACCTGCAAACGTGAAATAAGAGCATTTTTAATATCCGTTATATTGAAAACCACAGATATAATTAAAACAGGGAGTAATTTTTTTTCAAACGTTTAGTACAAATACAATTGCCTGTCCAACACAAACATTTGCTGAATCTTTTTATATTATGGCTTCCGCATTTCATGTAAGTTTGCTTTTGACAATATTGGAATTATTTTTACCGTAAAGGCGATTTTTTTTTTTTTTTTTTTTTGCAAATTAAGTTAAAAAAACTGGACAAGGATTTACTAAAACAAATTAGTCCTTTTGAGTTAGTGCTTTGATAAAACAAGCAAATTCTTCAGCCAGATTATAATTTTCTTTATTTGTTAATTTTGGGTAAATGTCACATTAAAAGGTCCATGCCATTTATTCAGGATGTAAACCCCTGTTTCAATTTTAGAACCAAAAGATCATGGGAGCTGGAGCCTCATTTGTATTTCTTCCTAATATTTTAATTTCTGTGCATGCAGTTCATTAGTGCAAATAATGGAAATCATTTTTTAACCAGGAAATTATGTTACATGAAATGAACTGGACAAAAATCACAGTTAACACATGTATATGTAAAATTATATTCAGATGTAACATTACTTTTCTTTCTGCTCCTTTTCATTAATTGTTTTTTTATGTTGACACATGCATATGTTTACAATTTTGTAAACATTTCTACAACAAAAATAACAATGTAACTGATAAAATTTCAACTGCTTGCACATCAGGCTTGAGAAGCATGATTTTGGTCATCATAAACAAGTTGCAAGTGAAGGTTTTACAGAAATATCGCAGGATGGCCAATATCTCCACAGAGCAGCATTACAGATCCCTGTTGTTGCTGCTGAGCAGTTTGGGGTAGGATGTGCCGATGGATCGCCCGTGCCGAGAGACGACCAGCTCCAGGACGTACTCGTCTACTTTCACCACCACAGATGTTGACTTCTCAGTTGACGTGAGGAAGATGATGGTGAAAAGGGCGACCTCAAACTCCGGACTGACCCCAATGAAGGAGCTACCAACTGGCTTCACCAAACCCTTCCAGCTGAACTGCAGGTTGAGGACGTGGTCGTCCTCATCAGGCTAAAAAAACAATTACATAAAGATAAAAAAAAACCAAACCAAAAAAAAAAAACAGTTGAGCAAATCTGAAAGATCTCTAGCAAAAATATCTTTTACTAACAAGCTCTTACTGAATCTTTGTTGTCCCTTGCTTTGTAGCCTTTATAGTCAACCTGGCCCAACTTCTCCTGGAGGTAGAACTGGACCCAGTTGTGCAGACCCGTGATCTCTCGACCATATTTGGCTTCTCCAACAAACACGTGTTCAAATCCGCAAGAATCCTCACTATTAAAAAATTAATATGAGATACAGAAAAAGGCACAAGGTTGATTATTTTTTTATAATAGTTTAAATCAAAACAATCTTATTACATTTGATCAAATCAATTCAGCAAATAAAACCAAATCGTAATTTGTGTGCATCATTTAGGTATTTCTAATTCCAAACCGAGGCAAGTTTTAAGTCAGTATTGAGTAAATAAATGTTCTCTTTACCGGTGGTTATTCAGTAGATTACTTGTTTGTCCTCTGTGCTAGTGCCCCCTGCTGTTAGTGCCACTCACCCTCCACTCCTGTCCCTGTGGTAGAGGCGAAACCAGATGTCAAACAGCTGCTTTTTGAACTGTGTGGGGTCTGATGGTGACTGGCCTTTTTTCACCAGATACTTGTGCGTGAACTACAAATTTAAAAAATGCAAAAAAATTATTTAAACTTCTGAGAAGAATCCACTTCGATTTTTAGCTCATTAAAGCTGCATTCCGGAGTTTTCCCCTTTCAGAAATGATATATGATTTCTCAGAAATCTGTAAAAGTGATGATCTCATCATGTACTGAGATAAAATGCAAGCAATACGTCTTTTTTTTTTTTTTTGCTAAGCACGCCCCCTTCCCGGCAGAGCTCCATTCAATAGGGAACTGAGCACCAACCAGAGCTAACCAATAGCGTTAGACTACCGCTTATTTGCTTCATATTTAAGGAATACCTCGGTTGATGCAGAGTTGATCAACTTTTCACGGACAAGTAAGTCTCTAAAATATAAATATGTGAGAACACAACATGACATGAGAATATTACTCGTAAAACAGCATGTTTTATCTCCGTTTGTCGGCTAAGATGCACATTTATAAACAGAAACGTGAAGTCGCGATCTTAAACAGAGGAATAGACTTTTTGTGTGATATGCTTGTCAGCCACTAGATGGTGCCATCAGATAAGAGAAATACTCCAGAAAGAAGCTTTAATCTTTTGTTTTCTACATAAATGTCACAATTGCTGCACCAGATTCATCAGAACTAAGATTATTATTATAATTTGTCTTGAGTTTAAGTGATCTGAGATGCTGAGTTTACCCTCCCTCGTTTAACTGTTGTACCTTCATGACTTCGGTCTCCATGATTGCGTCAAGAAAGAGCCTGTTCTCATTCAGCTCCTCTGAAGTGACCGTCTCTGCCACACCCGTCGACGCCTCATAATTGTCCAGCAAGCTGATGAAATCTGCACAGGAACAAAAATAAAATAAAATCAGCTTTTTGAAAAACCAGAAAAGTAATGAAAGCTAAATAATGTTGCAGATAACCATCTAGTGAGCTTCTTACGTGCATATGTCTTAATGTTTTTCAGTTTTTCTTCATTAATGTATGAGAAGAGCGGAGCGCTGGCCCGATCTCTGGCGCTGTTGCTGCCCTGAGCCACATATCCTGCCTTACCCTGAAAAATCAAAACAGAACTCTGGTTGTCATTACAAACACAACTAACAGCAAACTGGTTACCACCGGTCTGCTGTTTTGCCACCAAAACAGCAGGATTTCACCATTTCTGCTGTTTTTACATAAAGCAAAAGTTCACCCCTTTGCATTTGTTCAACGTGAGACATTATAAAAAGTAAAATCTCTTAATAAACCATGTTTATGAACAGTTAGTAGCTCCAAACAATATATGTTCAATAAAAGTGAAAAAAAAAAAACTCGAGCCATTCTGTGAGTTTTGTTAGAAACTTTTTTTTGCCATAAAATACAAACATTCGTGTTGTTTCTCCAAAAAGCTGCAGACATTTCACCCTAATTTGCTGCTGATTTTCTCACAACCGACTGTTGCAGATAAACCGGTTTATGGTCCAGATGGTTTGCATTTATTGCACCAGTCTGGGCGAGCTTTGCGGTGCAGAGATGGGGCAACAACACGCTCGTACCTACCTGCAGGGAGATTTTGTAATCCTTCCCTGGCTGGAGACGATTAGCATCCAGGCGCCAGAGTTGATTCAACGCCTCAGTCAGTTCCTTGTTAGCCTGTCGACTAAAGAACACAAAGAAAACAAATGGAGATCAGTAACAGTGGAAGATTCTGTCATCACAGTGCTACTAATCATGTTGCCCCACTTTCTGCAACTTTAACAGCATAGCACAAACATTGACATGTGAGCTAGTGCCAACACCAGAATCCTGAATGCTGGATAATATTTTTACTATCAAAGGTGAAATTCTTCAGGTTCAAAGATCATTCTTGTCATGAAAGTCGAGCTGTGAGAAACGTAGACAAGTCTCCAGAGGCACTCAGATGCAATAATCTATTTTTTGCTAAACTAAAAAGGGCTGCAAAAGCACAAGAGCTTTCTTTAAATGTTTTGAAAGTGTAGATGAGTTATTGTGGCTGTTATTTCTCTACACATCAGTGGTAGGGATTACTGAAGTGATGTTTCCAGCTGCATTTTGAACCCTGAGAGCTGTTAATGATAAAGAGGAAGTTTGTTTTAGGTTATTTTTACAGATCATAAGGCAGCTCTGATTTAGGAAATCCACTCATGTGTCGCTTTAGCACGGTTCAATCACCCTGATAACAGAATTAGCAGAAAGATACTTTAAAATAAACTCAGCCTTTTACAGCAGGATGCTGTCCCACAATCTGTGTAACTGACATTTTAATCATAAGTGGTGTATTATTTTGTTAAATAAAAAAAACAGCATTACAGAAAACTAATACAAAAACAACTTTAGCTATACAAAATAAAACCACACCCTCATCAAGTTACTCATGGAATTATTTTTGCATTGGTGGACAAAAAAAAATCACATTTTAGAATACTCTCACCTCTGGTGCTACTGGTCTAATAATTTTTAATCATCTTATACTTAAAACTTGCAAATAAATACTCTTGTTATTTTAAAATCGCCACACCCTTTTAGTAATGAAAGCTGGACAGAAGCAGATGTCAGGAAGGGAATACACACCAACACAAACACTTCTCTGTTTTTTATTTAGCCCAAACACAGATGTGAACATGACAAGGAAGAGCAGCTGCAACGTTTGATCACAGCATAAACTCAGCTATGTCCTGTTGTTTAATTCACCACAATTCATTACCAGACTCTGCTGCTTCCGCTGCCCAACAACATTTAGTCCTACTCAAAACATAAACATATTTAAACTTCTTCAACTAAACATCGTTTGTCTAAAGAAGACAAAACGGGTCAATTTAAAAGACAAACGATGAAAAACAATGTAAACCAAGGATCGTGTTTACAACAGTAGCTAATATTTCTTAAAAAACAAAATGTGATTAAGTCTAAAACTAGTTTAAATTAACTAGCTCAAATGGAAGTGAGATCCTTAATATAAACAGAGATTAAATGTTTAAAGTAAGTTTTTCACCGAGAGTCTCTCGGAAGTAAAGACTCACCTGTTGGCCATGATGATTTCTATTAGAGGAAAAACTCAGCGAGTTTTCAGAAAACTGCAGCAGACAGCGAGTCTGAGTCGTCAATCAGACGTTTGTAAAGTAACCAGCCAATCACAAGACTGGGGTTTGTTCTGGGGGCGGGGCCTAGTCTGTGGTTTGACATTCTGAAATTTTACATCCTGTTTTTTGTTTTATCCATTATGTTTCGACTTTTAGGCCTGAATGAATTAAGCTCTGATTCTGAAAATCAAGAAAATAGATTTTATCTGGACATTTACCAGGTACTAGACTGGTATTGAGAAAAAAAAGTCAGTAAAAGTAAAAAAAAAAAAAATACAAAGACCCACATTGTCATCACATTTCTTAATTTTAAATATAACATCATTTCCTTTATCTCAGCCAACTGAAAACAAAGATAGTTTTAAATTTTTTACAACAGGTTCGCTAAACCAGTAAAACAAATTAGTTTTCCCTTTTCTGCTTTTATTTTGAAATCCCACGTCCTGCAAAATCATCACGTTGTTGTGAGCATGCGCAGCACCTACACATGTTATTTTGGATTAAAATACGTGTTTAGCTAAAAAGTTATGTGTTAGTGTGTTCGCCGCGTGGTTTATTTTGTTTATTTTCACATATGTATTTATCATGTATGTGTTGGTTTAGGACTTTGGCGACAACAACTTTAATTTAGCTGCAGAGTTTCTTGAGATAAAAGTAGATTTTTCAAGACATCTAGCTAGTCAGCTAGCTAGCAGCATGGCAGCTGTAGTGGGGCTAATCGCTGGCTGCTACGAGCAGATCACGTTCGGTTACAAAGTAAAAACTGAAGAAAAAGTGAGTTAACTTGTTTTTGTTATGACAACATGAAAATGTCAAGACTAGTTAATGATGAGATAATATAACAACCTTTAAAGTAATATTTTCTAACGATCATCCATAACAAAAGTAGCCTTTAGCAAAATTTGTTTTGAGATAGCAAATCACAAAACAAGTTATTTGTGTTGTCTCAAAACACAATTAATACTTTATTGCCTAAAATAACACAGAGATGTCAGTGTTAATCTTTTAGTATATGTATAAGTGTATAAAAAGTGTCACTTCTTTTTATGTTGCACTTTTAATCTCTTATATTTCTTTCAAATGTGCATTTTGTCGTGACATAATAATTGCCCCTGTGTTTGAAATGTGCAATATAAATAAAGCAGCCTTGCCTAATTTGCACAGTAAATAGTCATCAAAATATTAAAAGAAAGACTAGAAAGGCAGTTTGTACGTTTCATCTAAAGGAAATGGCTAATAAATTCAGATTATAAATACTAACATGCATCTAAGTTGCGCTGTCATGCAAGAAATAAACTTAATAAATACGAGGAATATTATCAATGCAGTTTTAAATGTATTTTAAAGTCAAAAATTAAGATTTGAATAGATGTTTTTTGTTTGTCATGCAGGAGTGGACAGCCATACCTGACTTTACCCATCATGCTCACACAGCTTCAGTATCAACTGTGGCAACCAGTGAGAGGTTTGTGGTCACAGGAAGCAAAGATGAAACCATCCAGGTGTACGATATGAAAAAGGGAATCGAGCATGGAGCCTTGCTGCATCATAACGGTATGATTTTATTTTATTTTTTGTTTCACATCTTGACTTTGGGTAATTAGCTTTGTGCTACAGTAATGAAGGGCCTTCCTTGTGGTTTGACTGTAATCTCTCTTTGCTGCACAGGCAGCATCACCTGCCTTGAGTTTTACGGGACATCTTACTTACTGAGTGGAGGAGAAGACGGACTCTTGTGTGTGTGGAGCACAAAGAAGTGGGAGTGTGTAAAGTCCATCAAAGCTCACAAGTAAGCATGCAGTCAGATTCCTGCAGCTGCATTGAAAGAGCTGTCATTAATAGTTTTGAATCTTTACTTTCTCAGAGGTCATGTCACATCACTGTCTGTACATCCATCTGGAAAACTTGCTCTGACAGTAGGGACGGACAAGAGTCTGAGGTAATTCTCTCAGCTCTATAAGCAATTTATTATCAACGAGAATCCAAAATAACAGTTTTTAATTATTGTAGAACCTGGAATCTCATTAAAGGAAGATCGGCTTTTATCAAAAACATCAAACAGAGTAAGTCTTCAGTTGGCTTAGACCAAAGAAAATGGAGCTTTTTACAAAACTAGATGTTTTTAATTGCACCTTTTCACAGATGCACACATAGTGAGATGGTCTCCAGATGGGGATAGATATGTGGTTGTGCTCAATGATAAAATGGATATTTACAAGTTGGAGACGGCCTCTGTGACGGGAACAGTCACAAACCCAAAGAGGATCTCATCCATAAAGTTCTTAAATGTGAGTTCTCAGGCCAAGACTTAAAAATTCTTAAACTGAGATTTTGTACATAAACCAAATGAAAGCACGGATTAAAAAGGGCAAAATCCACGAAGGAGCTCTGTGTTTAAACTGTTTTATCATTCAGAACGCCATCCTGGCTGTCGCAGGAGATGATGAAACTGTGAGGCTGTGTGATGTTGGAAAAGCTGAATGGCTGTGTGAGTTCAAGGCTCATGAAACCAGGTGAGTTATGTTTTTTAAACAGCATTGTTTCTCTGTCTTACATAAAATGTGACAGAAAAGCACTTAAATCTTTTTTTATCCTCATATCTGTTTGTCATTTCAGAGTGAAAGCAGTGGATAGCTTTATTATGGAGGATTACTGTGTGATGGTGACGGCTTCAAATGATGGTTTCATCAAAATGTGGAAACTCCACCTTAAAGAGGCAGGATTTGTTCTAAATATTTTTATCCCCTTAAACCAAAATTCATACACCTTATGGAATGGATATTTATTTTTTCTTTAAAAGAGAAAATTAAGTTGAAAACTGTTTTTCTTGTTTAGCAGGAGCTGAATCCTCCTGTCCTTCTGGGTGAAGTTAACGCAGCAGCTAGACTGACGTGCCTCGCTGTCTGGAAGCCTTCATCAGGGCAGCAGGTTGCTGAGGAAAAGTCTGCGGCAACAAAATCTCAAGGTGGACACCACGAGTTTAATTTCTTTCTGAATTCTGAAAGATACCTCCAATAATATGGATTTTTATTTAGTTATTTTATGTGAACAAGCTGACATACACTCTTCCAGACTGTTAAGTTTCAGCAGAAAGCGACTCATCTCTCTGAATTATGATAAATGTTGAAGTATAAAATTTCTATATTTCATTTGCCTTTTCTTTACTAACATCCTATCCTTCTCCCACTCTGTCCACAGAACTTGCTCAGGGAGTTGCAAAGACAAAGAGAGTTCGAATCGCCACAGAAGAAGTCATTCTAGAGGATGAGAGCAAACCTAAAAAGAAGAAAAGAGACAAAGGAAAAAAATCTGTCAAATAATAAAAATTTTTCCTTACATGTACTTTTTATTTCAAATTGTTCTGCCAAATATATCTTGGCATTATGTGGCTCTCATCTGGAGCTACAGTGGAATACAGATTTTATGAATTTGATTTTTCTTTTTTTTCCACTGAAGTTGTACAAACATGCATGTTTTGGCTCTAAAAATAAATTTCAATTTGTTGCAATTTAATGCGCCTTTTGTTGCAATTTAATGCGCCTTTTTATGCCGTAGAGAAGATAAAACATAAAAAATAAACGACTGCGAGTAGTGGAGAGCCTATTAGCTTTTATTTTGAAAGCGGAAACCCCAGGACACGTGTTTCCGGTGAAACTTAGAAGTTTGTCATTACCATCGACATTACTTGTTTCAAACTTAATTTGGTATCCTTGAAATATCTGCTACTGCAGAGAAAAGCTTCGGATAATATGATGTAATGTTTTTCGAACTGCGTGCGATAAAAAGACTAAATCCGGAGTTTTTGTTGCTAATCTGCTAAACATTAGCAGCTAGCTTGTGGTGGTTGTGATGGAAATCGACTGGATTGGATTCAGCTATGCTCTCCTCGTCTCAACAGGAGGAGTTGTGGGTTATGTTAAAGCAGGTAGGTGAAGCCACCTGGATGTGCAAGTGAAACGCAAAAAATCTGATCATGTCGCAATATATTCATTTATTTCAATAATTTTACTTAAAAGGTTAAACTAATACATGAGATAGACTCATTACATACAAGGGGAGACATTTCTAGTCTTTATTTGTTATAATTTTGATGCAGACTGCTGATGGAAACCCCTAACTCAAAGTCTCAGACAATTAGAAAATTGTAGAAAGGTTCAATATTCTAGACTCAGTGTCACGAATCAGTTAATGAATCCTAAACACTTGCAAAGGGAACCAGAGCCTTTAGATGGTCTCTCAGTCTTAAAAGGATTACAGAAATAACTGGACTTTAAAGCCTTTTCTATTTTTTCGGAGTTTCACCGGTATTTTGCATTCATTTCAGAGTTTGTTATTGATGGAGGATGTTTTAGTACAATGAATACTTGTTGGTGAGATCAGTTAAAATAAATACAGATTACACTAGATGTAATTCGTTTACAATATTTATTGTAAACTTTTGGGAATAAGATCACTTATATGCTTGAGAAGGCAAGAGTTTTTAATTCTAGTGTGATCAGGTGATTATTCATGTTGTGATTTAGAAGAAATAAAAATAGTAAATTATAATCTAATCTCAATTTATCAGTTTGTTTGAAATCCCAGTTTGTAATTGCAAAGTAGATGTTTAGATTTCTGAAGGTGGAGATAAACACAGATACCATCTTCCTCAGGAAGCGTCACCTCCCTGGTGGCAGGACTCCTGTTCGGCCTGTTGGCTGCTGTTGGTGCCTATCTGACATCTCGTAATCCCAAGAATGTGTGGCTCTCACTGGGTTAGTGGGTTTCGTCAGTTAAAGTAGTCATTATTTGGGTTGCATCATGTAAAGACTTGTTTCCTTTCAGGAACTGCAGGATCTTTGGCTGTAATGATGGGACAGAGGTTTCTAAGCTCCTGGAAGTTTATGCCAGCTGGTCTAGTGACTTTAGCAAGGTAATGCTGCATTCCCTTATCCCAGTTTACTGTAGGAGATTTTAAAATCACATTATGATTTTAATGTTTTCTGCTTTCAGTGGACTGATGCTGGTAAAGATTATCCGTGGAGCATTGAAGTCACGACAACACAAATCTTGAACATTTTCAGAAATATTTTAAGATGACTGTAAATAGAACGTGAAGCATTCACAGCTGTATGATCATGTGACAGTCTTATGTCTTTTTTAAAAAATAACTTAGAAAATCTCAAAGTACATGGCCGATGTTCTACAGGAAGATGTTTTATCATTTAAAAATTATATTTTTGCTGTTAATAAAAACATGTTAATGATGAACAATTTTGAGTTTATTTATGAAGAAATGCTGTTAAAATACATAAAGCACATTTTCAAAAGGGTTCCAGGAACGTTTCTCAAGATTCACAGATGGATCAGAGCGAGCTGCTGGGGTGCACCACTGGTTACCTCCATATAGCGGTCCAGTCCACTCGTCCTTGCTACGGCTGGATGTTTTTGCTTCTGAAGAGGTAGTGGAAGAATTTCACTCACATGTACTGTACCAGTGTACCTGCACATGTGACGTGACAATAAAAGTGATTTGATTTGAATAATACTCTGGTATGGGGTGACTTGGAAAAATGCTTTAAACTTGTGTTTCACATCAAAATAGCAGAAACAAAAAATACACATATAAAATGCAAATAAAACACAGGAGAGAGGATCTGTGTGGTTAGACTGAGTAAATGAGTTCATAAGATAGTTTGACCTAAAAGGCTCAAAACTGTTTTAGATGTTAAAACACTCCATTATAGCAGAAACAAAGCCCCAAATGTCTCCTTCGGGGTGATTTTACACCATTATGGAGAGTTGTTGTTGTTTTCTCCACAGGAAGTGTGTTTTAGTGGCACCATCTTGTTGACACATACTTTATTTAAAATAGCTGTGAGTAAATTTCTCTTGCTAGTCCAAAATCTGCAATCATGACCAGTTCTGGACCCCAAGCAAGTTCTCCAGCTTCAAATCACAATCAAAAACCTCAAAACAAGAATGCTTCACTATGTGCATCCATTTGTAAAGTTATCTACAATAAAACAGTTGTGACTCCTTAAATGTAACTTTTATAATAAAATTAATGCAGACCCCCCCCCCCCCCCCCTGCAAACATTACTACAATAGTCGCATATCTTGACCTGAAGACAGTTGAGCGTCTCTTAAAAGAAAAGCACATGAACGCCTGACAGCAAAGCAGGTTCTTACATTGAATGGAGGGAAAAGGAGAAATTCTTACTGTGCTTGTGCACAAAAGTTAGCCCAGATAAAACCTGGAACAGAATGTTCTTTATCTCATTTTCAGAAAAGATCTTATCTTTTCTGACAGGTGCACAAGTTGTAAGACAGAGAAAAATGGAGAGGGGATAAAGAATGATGCTACTCATTGTTCCTTTAAAAGAATATTATTTTTTGAATATATATATATATAATATATATATATAAAGATTTATTTAAGTCATTTTACCGTTAGATGCATCCATCCATTTTCATCCGATTCTCCGGGGTCAGGTCGCGGAGGCAGCAGCCTAAGCAGAGAGGCCCAGACTTCCCTCTCCCCAGCCACTTGGGCCAGCTCCTCCGGGGGATCCCAAGGCGTTCCCTGGCCAGGTGAGAGACATAGTCCCTCCACCATGTCCTGGGTCTTCCTTTGGGTCTCTTCCTGGTTGGACGTGCCTAGAAAACCTCATCAGGGAGGCATATAGAAGGCATCCTAACTAGATGCTCGTGCCACCTCAACTGCCTCCTCTCGATGTGGAGGAGCAGCCTGTCTACTCCCAGACCCTCCTGGCTGATTGAGCTTCTCACCCTATCTCTAAGGGAGAGCCCAGCCACCCTACGGAGAAAAATAATTTCGGCAGCTTCTCATTCTCATTCTTTTGGTCACCATCCAAAGCTCGTGACCGTAGATGAGGGCTGGAACATAGATCGGCCAGAAAATCCAGAGCTTTGCTATCTGGCTCAGCTCTCTTCACCACAACAGACCGGCACAACGCCCACATCACTGCAGATGCAGCACCAATCTGACTATCGATCTTCCCCTCACTCGTGACCAAGACCATGAGATACTTAAACTCCTCCACTTGGGACCTCATCCTTTAACGTTCCAACTGGATAACGAGACATTAGCCTGTAGTGATACATATTGAGTTTCCAATCTCACCTGTATACTAATGAGGAACTACACTTCTCTAATAAATATCAAATATATTAGAAGTAGTTTTAAAACTAGAGTAAGGTTTAGATTATTTTTGACAATTTAATGCAATATGAGTAAAAACAATGTTTCCTAGCCTAAAAATCTATACTAACGGTTGCTGAAGCAAAATGATTTTGCTCTACATGTTGATCTAGCTACGCACATTTAGTGACTCTATCAGTTTGTTGGGCCAGTCACACAGCTCTATTAGTTTGGTGGGCGTGCGGCGTGATGATGCAACGGAGCGAAACAACTTGATGGCTTGTTTGAGTTTTAATTTGGTCATATAAATCATTGAAGTTCATCTAAAACAACAGCTGGTAAAGAATTAAAGCTAGCTCCTAACTGGTGGTCTCTTGTTTCCAAGGCAACCAGGCTTTTCAAAATAAAATAACAGGAAATATAAAGACATATTGCAAGCCTAATAAATGAAAGACAATAAAATTTTAAGTTGATAGTTATGTTAATCCTCATCAGTTTTTCTGTACAAATGAGAGAAGTCAAAGTTGCCTTTTGGAAACCCAATTTTTTTTTTCAAAATGTTTACAAAATGCAAACTTTTTATTGCAAAAATATATGGAATTATTAAGTATACTTTAAACTATACTATTATATTGTAACACAGGACACGCTGGAGGGACTATGCGTCTTGGCTGGCCAGGGAACGCCTTGGGATTCCCCCAGAGGAGCTGGCCCAAGTTGGGGAGAGGGAAGTCTGGGCCTCCTGGGCTGCTGACCCCACGACCCTACTCCAGAAGCAACTGAAGATGGATGGATGGATGTAATATACTAACATACCCAAGTGTAACACAGGGACATACGGTTCTTTTATTTTGGTGCAAAAACAACTAAGTCTTTGTCATTCTATTGATTATTACAAACTTGAGGAAAACTCAAGATGCTCACTTGTCTTAAAATCCAAGAGAAATCAGGATTGTTTTGGTGTATTAACTAATAATTGACTGTTTTACATCAGTATCAGATGATTTCTCCAAACAAGAATCATGTCAAATCATTGCGCTTGTTTCTTTAACGTCAAATTGCCAAATTTTAGGTATTTGTGCAGTTATTTTGGCTTACTGTTTAAAAATACTCTAAATAAACTACATTTTCTGCATGTTTGATGAGGATGTTAAATTCAAATAAGTACCCAGAGCTTAAAATAATAAATGACAGCGAAACCCAAATAATAAAACAGTTACACTTCAAGCCACAAACCTTCCTTTAAGATGACCTTCAAATAGTCAAGCAATAATCTGGTTTTAAAACAAAATGAAATAATAATTATCAGAATAATTTAATTATGCTTCTTAATTAGTTTGGTAAAAAAAATAAATAAAACGGCCTTTATTTACCTTGTTTACTGCTGTAAAATGAAAACGTCTCAGTTATTCCTCTGTAGTTGTATAGGAGCCCTCCACCTAGTGGTTTACTTTCATCTCCGTCTGGTGTGAATTTTGCCTTCTTCATGTCAGAAAGTCTGAAGCTCTGTATCACAAAATATGATTTTAAAATGTCAGAAGGTTTTGATTAAATCATCGGCAAATGCCATTTAGCACTTTTTGGATTAAAATTAAATTAGTTTTTCAAGTGCTATAAATAAGTTGGGAATTTAGGTATCTTTATTCCTCTGTTTTATTACATGGGGATTCAAACATTCTGTGTCCATGAAACAATTAAGGGTCTATATGTTAACCACTATAGGTAAATTTAGAAATAACAAAAGTTTTGATTATCTGAAAACTTGATTTTTCTGTGTGAACACACACTCAGTGTGTCCCAGTTAGAGAAATTCCACAAGAAACGCTTTAAAAGCTTTAATTTAATTGTCACGATCAATAAATGAGGGCAGAATGTGATCAACGTTATATCATATTGGTGTCACCGTAAGGTTCAGGCTCATTGAGCATCTCTTCAGACATGCAGGTATGAAATGTGAGGAATGGAAATCACGAGCAGCATTCTGGAAAAGGCTCTGCTGTAGTAATATGACGTACGCCGCAATACACCAAAAAGCTGCGTAGTGCGATTGTGGCGAGACTGCGCAGCGGATGAGTGTCGCTGGTGTCGCTTTCCTCCGAGGCCGTGCTTTTGGTGACTTACGGTAAGGTGGACCCGCAGTGTCCACTAAAGGATCAGGTGATCCACTATCTACGAAGCGAAGGCTGACTGGGGAAAATGCAAAATGACATTTAGCAAATGTCGGAGCATAATTCATTCATCTTTTCGGCTCAGATTTGGACTTAACTCGCACTGCTGGAGCTCCATTGTAACGATGGCTCGTTAGGGCTGCTGGCGCATATCTACGATTTCCCCTCCCGATATTTTGATTTATGAAAAATCACATTCACAGACAAATATTGGTTTCAACATGGGGCTGTGTTACAGTTTGCGTCCCCGGCTCTTCGGGGACCTGAGCGGCTCTATCTCCAACGCTACCTCGGACTCGGACCAGCCTCCGGACCCCGTCGCGGCGGCTCGCCAGGAGGACACCGGGGGATGTGGGGAGACTTCCTCGCTGCGCGGCGGCGGAGGCGGCGGCCTGGTGCGCCCCGGAGACCCCGCCAGGTATCACCGCCGTGGAGACACCGGTACCGACGGTGTGCTCATCCAGAATGGAGGAGGTAGCGGTAAAGGCTCGGGAAAAGAGCGCGGTCGACGCTTACAGCTGCTTCAGAAGACGGGCACCCAAAAGCAGAAAAACTGGGACAAATTGCTGGTGGAGGAGAAGGAGGCCGAGAAGGAGGCGAAGAAAGTCAGTAAAAACATTGACAGGGCGCTGAGGGAGCTGAAACGGGAGTATAAACAGACCCATCGGCTGCTGCTGCTAGGTAGGTTATTTCCTTCTCCTGTTATTGTTGGACTGAAGGTGTTTTATTTATAGAAAGAAAAGAAAAAAACGCACCGGCCTGTCCACAAATTATGTCACCGGCGCTCTGGCGAGGCCTGTTGTCTCTCTGGTGTGAAGACTCAACCAAGATCAAGATTTGTCATTTAATTCCGTGAGAAACAACCAATAAACACCCGGAGGCTGTGTTTACATTAAAACTATGATAGTATGATATAAGGGTGTGACATCTGCTCAGAGGCA